ATTTTACTTCATAAATATCCTATATAGTAACTAAAATAACAATTTAATAGTAAAATTTGATTATTTACAATGTTAACATTCATTTTAGTAGAATGGGTAGACTCGCCCCATACGAGAGATTTGTCAGCAGTTCTATAAAAATATACAGTAACAGCGTAACTGTTAATATTTTCTAAAATCGATTTCACAGCTTTAAAGAGGGATAAATAGCGATTCCGAAACACCTATTAAAAGCCTTTTTTCTTTAATATTTACAAAAGTTTGACCACTTGAAAGTTGACTAACTGAAAAAATGGGTAGACTCTCCCCGGTACACAACTCTTATTCAGGGTGCTTAGCGTTTTTTAAAAAGTGCTTAAAGGTGCTTATTTTAGATTTTTAAAAGCCCTTAAAGGTACTTTTTTCATTGGGTGTTTTTAAAAAGTGCTTAATTTTCCCTTTTTCAAAATGAAATTTTTCCTTTGCTATGTTGATTTTCGCTTCGAATTATGCAAAAAGACGCAGTTCACATTGTTCTATTCAACGTTTTCATAATTCATTCAACCCAATCTATTTCGGCGCATTGTCAGTCCGTAGAGTATGAAAACGCCATTCGTTTCTCACGATTCAAAATTTCATGATTTTTAACAATTGTCAAAAACAACGCCAGAAAGTTTTTTTTTCTTTGACATGACGGTTAAAACAAGATAAAACCGTCAATTGTCACTAACTGTCCAACCCTGCCTAATTACGATATTTTTTTAAAGTGCTTAAGAGGTGCTTATTTTTTGTTGAATAATTTGGCTACACACCCTGTTATTGTAACTTATGTAATGGGTTATTATAGCTTATTACTATAAGTTATCCAATCAGCCGTGATATCTCAGGGGATAAAGCGTTCGCCTTCTAATAAGGTGACCGGGTTCGAATCCCACCGATGGCTGGTCGATGCAAATTCCGCATCCGGCTTGCACCAACCACAATGCTGACATAAAATATCCTCAGTGGTAGACGGATCATAGGTTTAAGTCTCCTTGCCGTCAGGCTAACCGTGATAGTTTTTCGTGGTTTCTCCCTCTATATAGCGTAAATGCGGGTTAGTTCCATCAAAAAGTCCTCTATGAAGGCAAAAATTTCTCCCAATACTTGATCCAGGAGTTCCCTTGCCTTCTGAATTGGGTTCAAAATTACAAGGCTACGGAATTGAACATAAGTAGCCGTTGGCCCTAAATTGGGTTGCAGTTGGTCGACTGTTCAACAACGGTTATAAAATAAAATATGAGTTAAACCAATAAACGGCACGCAATTTCTTGAGTGAACTTAAATTAAAAACCTTATCGGAGGTCACCCCCCTTGCAGAATCTGCTATCGAACACATCTGCTCTCAAATAAAAAATAAAAAAAATACCTGATAAATGATATATAAAATAATAAATAAAATATAAAATAATTACAAAAATGTGTAACGCAAATACAGGTTGGTTTCACGTATAAATCCCACTTTGTCATTATTCCATTGTCTTCTAAGTTGGGCTTAAAAGGACGCATGCTATATAGATCGTTTGTTCTTCAATATAAAATGTATTGGAAGAGCTACACTTTATAAAAAAATAGAAATAATTGTATCTGCATGCAAATGGACACTTAACGTATAGACTCATTTTTAATGCGAAAGTTAATTTTCTTCTATAAAAATGTGATTTTAATTTTGGGGACAAACTTATGGCAGTACCAGTATCACGATTCATGAAGTATCTCCAGAAACTATTAATGAAGTGATTCAGGTTCGAATCTCAGCGATGGCTGGTCGATTCGAATTCTGTTTCTAGTTCGAACTGACTATCGGTCTGACTATCGAACTGACTGTGGTCGGTGCTGTTCCTCAAATGTAGACGGATCACGGATTAGAATCTCCTTGCCTTGGGGCTAGCCGTGGGTGGTTTTCCTTTCCATGCAACGAAAATGCGGGTTAGTTCTATCAAAGAATCCACTAGTTTGTCCACTGCTTGATCCAGAGCCGTGATGGCTCAGGGGATAGAGCGTTCGCTCTCCATCGAAGTTCATCGGATTCGAATCCCAGCGATGGCTGGTGGATACGAATTTCGCATCCGGCTTGCACCGACCACAGTGCTGACGTAAAAATATCCTCTGCGGTACGAGTTATGGGTGTTCATGGGTTGGAGTTCCTTTGCCGTCAGGCTAATCGTGGGAGACTCTCGTGGTTTTCCTCTCCATGTAACGCAAATGCCGGTTAGTTCTATCAAAAATCCTCCACAAAGGCAAATTTCTTCCAATACTTGATCCATGAGTTCCCTTGTCTTCTCGATTGGGTTCAAAATGACAAGGCTACGGAGTTGGCCATTAGTAGTCGTAAACCCACCGAAAATTTGGGTCGGCTGTTCAACTACGGATATGAAATAAAAAATGCCTCCCGATTCTACACGCGAGCCAAATTTTGTATCTTAATGCGGAAAAAAAAATTTAAAGCAAAAAATTAGATTTTTCCTGTTTTTCAAAATTTTGTACGCAAAATGCGGATTCGTGTTTAGCCCCTCTTCCCAACGAACATAAGTGTGCAAGAATTTTTTTCCAGGTAACGTCAATTTTTAAACTATCGCTTAGACTACTAGTTTTTATTATTATTCTTGTTATGATACATGTTTGAAGACTTCTTTATTGTTTTATCAATTTCGTTCATATTTCATACTGTGGCTTAAAATAAATTACCAATTTCGACGTCGAAACATCACTTGAAAGAAAAGAAAAAAAAAAGAAAAAAGCTTGAGTAAAATGAAAGAAAAAATAATCTTCTAGGTGGCTATTTAATATGACTAGATAAACTTGCTTTCGGCTAATAGCAGCCAACGGAGAAAATATTTTCTTATTTTGAAACGTAAGAAAGTTTTTAGATGTGTGCAGCGGCGTAAATAACACTCCCACAATTCCCGCGGTGCGGGGGGGGGAGGGNGGGGGGGGGGGGGGGAGGTGCCCTAAGTTTGAGGGTGCCCCAGAAATAATACACTGCATGTATGGGGGAGCACAACCTGTGGCGCTTGTAGTACCTAAAAAAAAATACAATTATATATATATTTTTCGCCAAAAAAAAAATTATAATAAATTTTAAATTGCTCATTAAAGTTTTTGAATGCGTCAAATATAAATCAAGGTAGTTTTTTGATCTTTTTTTTCCGGTGGTTATCGCTACGAATTTCCAAAATATTAAAATTCGCAACAATTTGTCACCTCGCCAATCCCGAATGTCTCTTCATAGTGTTCTTGTCTCATATCATAATTTTGAAAATATTGTGTTAAGCCTAAGATAGAACGCATTAGTAATCCTTGCGGAGGGGGGCGGACCTAAGTCTACGTACGACGTGTGATTAATTTAATAATAGCATTCAAGTGATGTTAGTGCGTGTAATGAAGGATGAGTTTATTTCTAGGATAATGCCGTGGGTACTGGTACAGGCAAGTACAATGATCACCAATTGTTTGAGGCTAAACTGAACCATGCTTCTTTGGTACCAATCATTGGATTAATGAAAGCCGATGATTTCTTAGGAGGTAAGCCTTCATTTTATTCCATTTTATTTAAAAGGTTTAGAAGAATTTAAAATTAATTCAAATCAAAAGTTCTTTTTTTTCGGTATGGATGGTGCTATGCCCATTAAACCCTTTCTCTAAGTGCTGTAGTTATAAAAGTGGTGTCTAGGTATAATAAAGTTAGTTAAAAGATAAGTTCGATGACAGCCACCTGGTGGAAAACTATAGTTTGTCTCCGGTAAGAACTCCCCCCACCACAAAATCTGAGGCCGTCTGCTGCTATGGAAACAAGAATAGCGCATTTCAGGGAGGGTAGCTTCTCCTCACTCTAGGACTAACACAATAGACCGAAGAAAAGTATTCCCGTTTTCTCTCCGACCCCAACCAAAACCTGACCTAAACTATAACCCCACATCACTACTTGAAATAGTTAGACCACGTTGCCGTAGTCACCGCCACGAGCTCAGACGCATGGCTAGGGGAGTTCTTACTTTAGACAAACTAACTATACTTAGTTAGCTTTACCGTCTAGAAAACAGTACGATATTTAAGAAAAAAATGTGAATTTCAAGGCAGCATCGATTTATTACGAATTGACATACCTTGCCACTAATGATGTAACTCTTGGAAGGGAGGGTGGGGGGATACTTAAAATTAAGACACTTCGTTCACAAGGGGAAGGGAGAGAGGTAATCAGCCGTCACCTATTTTGATTGAACCTGTAAAGCAATGTTTCCCAAAGTGTGGTACGCGTACCTAGCAGGGGTACGCGTTGTTATGCGAAATATCTTGCAACAAACGAAAATTTCAAAAAAATTGTATTTAAAAACAAAGCTGACCATGAAAATTTACGATTATGTATTTTTGCAGAGTTAGCAGTTAATATTAGTGGTATATACTAGTATTATAATTAGTGGTATCAGCAGCCAGTTGTGATTTTTAACTTTTATGCAATTTTATTATAGTAAAAAATGCATTAATTTTTTTTTTATTAGTGGTACACAGCGTCACGAAAAATTTAGAAAGGGTACACAAAAGTTTGGGAAACACTGCTGTAAAGCTAAACGCAGAAAAGTCGTATAACTTCCGACTGATTTTTATGCCCAAGCTTAAAAATAAAGGCCCCATCCAATATTATTATACTAGTATTATTCTCAATATAACACGATCATTCTAACTTTCAACGAAACAACAAATGAATTCGGAAGACTTGCTATGATGCTACCCAAAAAATAACAAACCGTGCTTTCTTACACAAATGTAGCCAAATACGGGTTAATACTTAAGACATGGGCTGAGCTTATATTTTTTATATGCTGTGGTATTAATTTTGTTTATAATTTTTTTAAAACTCACGACCTGTTAGAATTTATAAATGACTGAAAACTCTTATCAATGGTAAAATGACGCATAAATTTAAACGCAAATCACAATAGTAAGACGTCCTAGAATATTTACGCTTGTTCACCATCGCTTCAATAGCATAACATTAGCGGAAGGATACACCGGAAGTTATCTAAATTTCTTCCGGTTTTGTTATTGTTTACATTTAGTCAACCAGTGTTTAGGCTCAGAAATGTTATTCAAACACATAGTTTCGAAATAAAATTTGAAGCATAACGTTTAACGTGTGTTTTGTTTCATGAATATGTAATAGAGTGTGACGTGTGAATGTGGGGGTAACATCAAGTGTGACGCTTAGTAACAATAGGAAGGAAGAGGTGAAAAATATTTATAAAATGTGTGAAATTTGTGAGCGGCCCCTTAATGCTGAGAATAGAGGTGCGTTTGTTTATTCGACATTTCCTTCTTTTGTTGACGTAGCGAAACGATGTTAGGATGAAGTTTCGAATTTCAAACTGTTCTTCAGAGTGGGTCAAAAAATGCATTAAAAATCTTAGTAAATATGATGTAAATACCACGTCAAAAAAATGAAGTAGGAACGTGCAACCCCATTTTCACTTTGTGAGTTATTATCTAACATATTTGAGTAACGTTAAAACAACAACAAAAGTGGTTAACTTCTGTTTTCCTCTTAAAGCGTTTCACGGGCATTCAAGATTTAAATATTAAAGAACTTAATTTAATTAATTATTTAATTTATTAATTATTAATTAATGAAAAAATTTTTTAATTATAAATTTTTAAATTATTAATTAAGTTATTAAAGAATTTAGTTTAGGATATTCAAACCATATATTAAGTATAAGAAACTGAAGCATTTTTCTTTCAAAAGTTTAGAAAACTTAATGAAGGGCAGTTTTTTATTTTTTTTTTATTATTATTTTTTTAAGTACGATGTTCGAACGGAAGATATTAACCGAATTACCATTATTATTCACATTACAATAGACAATCTTTTGAGCCGTGATGGCTTAGGGCAGTGTTTCCCAAACTTTTGTGTACCCTTTCTAAATGTTTCGTAACGCTGTGTACCATTAATAAAAAATGAATGTATTTTTTACTATAAAAATTGCACAAATGTTAAAAATCAAAGCTGGTTGTTGACACCACTCATTATTAACTTTTAACTCTGCAAAAAATAGCCAATTGAAAAATACGTAATCGTAAATTTTCATGACTATCTTTGTTTTAAAATAAAAGTTTTTGAAATTTTCGTTTGTTGCAAGTTATTTCGCATTAGAACGCGTACCCCTGCTAAACTGCTCCCCCCTGGGGGTACGCGTACCACACTTTGGGAAATACTGACTTAGGGGATAGAGCGTTCGCCTTTCAATGAGGAATCCCAACTTTGGCTGGTCGATACGAATTCCGCATCCGGCTTGCAACGAACTCAGTGCTGACGTAAAATAGGTAGACGGATCATGGTAGACGGATCATGGGTTGGAGTCACCTTGCCGTATGGCTAACCGTGGGAGGTTTTCGTGGTATTCCTCTCCGTGTAACGCAAATGCGGAGTAGTTCTATCAAAAAGTCCAAAATTTCTTCCTATGCTTGATCCAAGAGTTCCTTTGTCTTCTGGATTCGGTTCTAAATGACAATGCTACGGTGTTGAACATTAGTAGTAGTAAACGCGAAAAATTGGGTCGGCTGTTCAACGACGGTTATAAAATAAAATAAAATAAAATAGGCAATCTTTTCGGACTAATTATGAGAAAAAGTATTTTTTTTTTCGATCCGCTCCACTTTTCTTAAGTTTACATCGAAAATAAGGTTATGTTTATTTTTTTCTTGAGATTGTTTCGTTGATTTAAAATTTTACGATAATTTAAAATTTTTTTTTTTTTTTAATACTTTATGCATTGAAAATAAAGATATATTTTCCCCTCTTCTTCCTATGATCACGTAGACTAAAAAGGCGCGAAGAATTTTATTTTTTGTCAAACCGTGGGGTGTTCATTATTTTCAAAAATAATCTNCGAACCCACAACCACTTGTCCAGTACAGTAACTACTAGACCAGTGATCGGCTAAAATAAACAAATGAATCCATTTTTATTCTACTTGAGGAACAAAATAGGATGCTTTTATTTCATAGCAATAAATTAAAAGTAGTGTCTTTAACTTTAATGAGAAAAATTCGAAATCTAAATTTAGGAAGCTCTTTCGCTCAGTGCCTTACACTTGAAGTAAGGCTATAAATATGAAGCCGTAAAGAATTATCTGGGGACGTGACAAATAACTTAAAATATTTTAGAAGTCATTTAAATGTGGGGAATTTGGTGAATCTGAATAAAAATGATCGAAATCAAGGAATTTTATGACCCTAGATAATACAGCATTGGAACAACTTATAAAAATATTACATTCCATGGTCTTATTATTAGACCAAGATACGAGAACTGCTGGAATAGTTCAGTGCGTAGTGGAAAATGCTAATCTTTGTACTTACAAAGACCTTTTATTTAAGCAAAAAAACACACAATTTTTTTAAAAAAGGAACATAATACACAACTTAAAACAGCTAGAGTCGCTCCATAAGTTCACATATTACAGTCCCTGACCAAATTATTAGACTAATATAATTAAATATTCTATATTTATCTAATATATCATCTCATTTATCCTATCACCGAATTTCGTCTAATTCAACTGGTTTCAGTCACGTCAAACCAATAAAGCTGTATACCGATAATTAAGATTTGGCATAGAATCTTATAATAATTTAGCCAGGGAATGTAGCTTTCGTATTGACGTTTTTAGAATTAGCAATAAGGTGACTTATGAATAAGTGTTATGAAAATAGTATATGATTGGTACAAAAACGTTATAAGACAGGAGAGAGAGAGAAAGGTTATTCCACCTTACCTTTTGGCAGGTACCAATTTTGGCTCCTTGCCTTGTCGAAAAAAGAAGATCGGAGAATCCTCCTCACTTGTGGTAGAAAGATCCCTTGGTAAGCATCAGACCTTTATTCTACATTTTGTTTATCTCATCTTAGTCTGAAAAGTGTGTTTTTAGAAAAGAATTATTTAACTTATATTTGATGTGTCACTTCAGTTTTTCAAAGTATGAACTTATTATTTCATTCTGTATTTAAAAAAAAATTGATTACTCACTTATCTTGTGATAAAAATAAAGTGCGATGATCAAAGCTAAAAATGTGTCATGTTAACCTATTTTTATTAAGAGAGGAGTTTGTTACCTTAAATGATAATTCAACTTCTATTTTAAGTCGGATTAACGCTTGATTTGTTTAAGTATTTACAGCTGGTTATGCATTTGCAACTGTGACTTTGACTGTTTAGGTAAAAGAATAAAAGCAGGATTATCTACGCAGAAGATTAATTATGTTTTAGGGTTAAAAAGTGTCCCATTACCATTTTTACCTTCCTAATTTTTGGAAGGAAGTAAGAATTTCGTAACTTTATGATAATTTAGTTTTTCGTGTAAGTAGAACTTCGGATTTAGTTTTCGAAGTTTCTGATTGTTATTTTGTTTTCTATACTAATTTTGACTGTAAACTTGAAAATGAAGGTGCAATTTTCTAAAGAAAAGAATGTTTCGAAGCTTTAAAATGGGTTAAAGTTATTAGGTTTTTTTTTTAAAGACAAATATTAATTACAACACTATACAAATTTTACAGTGGAAATTTATGAAAGGATGCTTTTAAGTTATCATTTTAAGTATAGAAATATTATTACAAATATTTTTGGTAATAAGTGCTAACAAAATTTTTTTTATCATCCTAAAAATTTGCTTTATTTTTTTTTCTAGTTGCAAATTTTGCAGAGACAGAAGCGGTATATTTAAAATTCGATTTCTCAGAAACTATTTCACCGATTTCGCTCAAGTTTTGTATTTTGCTATGTAAAATTATGTAAAAATTTATGTACCTTAACTGTTCAAAATTTTTTTGACTATTACTGAGAAAATAATTTAAAAAAATTGTAAATATGTTCTAAAATTTGTTTATTTATTTATTTTTTTGCATGGAATTATCTTTCCATAAACGAATTCTAAAATTGTGTGCAAAAAATTTGATCTCGAGATATGGCGAAATATGCGAAGAATAAAATTAACGTTAAGGTGTCTAAAATTTGGACCGCTTTCCTGACCTAACTACGGGGAATATATTTCCCAGATTGCGGCTATCCCCTGTACTTTGGGGGTCGGAAGACCGAATCTGTCGAAAAAGGGGTATGTTTATTTAGACGAAGTACGTTTTATTGATTGATTTCGTAACTTAAAATATCGTCTGCACCAATTAAGTAGCATATTTGAGGTCAATCACTCGAATCATTAAGAATGAGTCCTAAAACGTGAAAATCCGATCATTAGATCAAAAGTTATAAAGGTTGGTCCGTTTATTTATTTTATTATTATTATTTTTTTATTTATGTGTTTATTTTTTTGCCCCCTGTACTACATATAACTCTCCATTTGGCTGTTTTAAGTTTAATGTTCGATAGTTTGGAGTTTCAGCAGCTTCTGAAACTTTTCAGAAACGCAGTCTAAAATTACATTAAAATGTAGAAATTAATTTTGATGATTTAAAAGGCGCCACTTTGCTCGATGATTGAAAATAGAACGGAATAGTTTCCGAGAAATCGAATTTTTAAAATACGACATTTTTGTATTTGATTTCTCAGGAACTATTTGACCGATTTTGTCTCAAATTTTGTATTTTGCTATGCAAAATTAAGTTCTTTAAAATGATGTTAAAAATGGTATACCTTACAATTCAAAAATTTTCGACTAATATTGAATAAAATAATAAAAAATAATAAATATTTATTACAAGTTATTTCTTGTATAGTTTGTCTTCGGATAAATGAATGTCTGTCAAATTTTTTCAATTCATTTAAAAATTTCTCGAGATATGGCGAAATACGCAAAATGTAAAATTACCAGTAAGGAGTCCAAACTTAGGATCTCTCGCACCGGCTACTCCCTATGTTTTGGTTTTCAGAAATCCGAATTTCTCGATATGAAGGTATGTTTAATTAGAGAAGGAACGTCTTAGTGTCCAATTTCGCAACTTAGATCGTCTGCACTAATTAATTAGCGTATTTAAATTCAACCCCTTGAACCATTCAGATTGAGTCCTAGGAATTGAAAATCCGACCATCAGATCAAAAGTTATTTAAAGTGGTCTGTTTTTTTGTGTGTGCATTTTCGCTTGCCGAGATTAAGGATAACCCGAGGGCAACAAAACTGAAAAAGTTGTAGGAAACGAATTGCTCCTGACTCGAACTACTGAAAACTGACATTTGAATCCAGATCCATGCACTTTCAAAATCTCTTTAATATCATTAGGAAGTATGAAAAAGTACCATGTCAATGGAAAGAAGCAATCGTTAGTTAACATACCAGAAAAGGGTGACGTCGCAAGATGTGAAAGTTGGAGAAATCTCCTCTATATACCCGGAAAGATATTTTGCCAAGTTCTTTCAAAGAGGTTAAAATCCGAAATTGAAGTACATTTACGAGTTGAACAAGCTGGTTTCCGTTCCCGAAACAGCACACTACATAGCAAAACTTTGTTCTTTGGAGTACAATAGAACAAAGCTTGGTGTGGAATTTCATCTTAATAACTAAGTTTCATGGATTTCAGTAGGGTTTTTGATTCAATCGATTGGGACAAGTTAATATTATCGAAAACCTTTATAATTAACGTAAGGCAAGGATTGAGCTATATTGACTACTTTCTGATTTTCAGACAGACAGAAATTTATATATATATTTTTTAATAACGCTGGCACTGAACTTTCGTTCTTCGCCTTAGAAGATGCCGGAAGTGTTGCTCATTTATCGTTACCCAGTGGGCACCTGTGAACCAAAGTCACGGAGGCGAGCAACATTACCCACGCCACACTGNTTAACAAAGGTGTATAACACAAACTGACTTCTCACAACTGTAAAATTTCATCAACACAATAAATACCAATGATAAGTGTAAGCGTGCACAAACACGTTAGTATACAAAACTACGGTTTGTATTTAGTATTTGTGTTTCAAAGTAAGCAGCTAAGCCAGCACCATCAATACAGTTTCCCGTGGCAAAATTTGCAAGTACAAGAAATTCGCACTTTTTTAAAAAAAATTTCTTGTTAACAATGCAGAAATGTATCTTGAAAAAAATTAACAGATGAAAGTATATGTATTAAAAAATAAAATGTAATAACAGAATGCATTAAAAAAAGTTTTTTTTTGGGGGGGGGGGGGGGGTNTTGGGGGGGGGGGTAGTTTGCTAGAGGGTTGCACCCCCTTTCATATTATTCTGCCGGCGCCCTTGTCAGTAAGGTTTTTGATTCAATCGATTGGGACAAGTTAATATTATCAAAAACCTTTATAATTAACGTATGGCAAGGATTGAGTTATAATGAGTACTTACTGATCTTCAGACAGACAGAAATACGTACTGTTTAGATTTCTATCCATGATTGTCGTTGACTAGATTATGAAAAACGGAACTTTAGCACCACCATAAATGATCTTGATTACGTAAATGACCTCATTTCTTGAAAAGAAAACCAAAAAAAAAAAAAATTATAAATATGCAAATCAAATTAACAAAAACAAAAATCGCGAGAATAAATGCAAAATCTAATAAATTCTAAATAAGTGGATACCTTTGAGCCAGCGATGATATAAACCTGTTTTAAGTTTGTGATACCTTTGAGCCAGTTATGATCAAAACTGTAACGAAGCTGTTCTGTGCTGTTTCAGAAAATTTTGGAGAGCTTCGAATGTAAAAATCAACATAAATGTTTTTAAAGCTGTTGTTTGCTTCATACTTTTGTAAGATGCTGATTGTTGGAACTTACTCAAAACCAAAATAAAAAGCCTTACTTAGGCACCGGACGGAAAAATGAAAAGAGGAAGGTCGGGTCTAAATTGGCAAAGATACATGCACTAAGATCTGCGCGAACCTAAACCAGATGGGTGGAGGCTAGAGAACTGGCTCAAGACAGAAGTGTTTGAAAAAAAGGAAGGGGAAGAAAAAGAAGAAAGATTTGAAGCCGTATGTCCCAGCTGGTGCGAAAAAGATAGGAGGATATGAAATAAATTAATGAAAATAAATTAACAATTATTAAAAATGTTTTTTTCGTGTTACACCCGTGGAGAAACGTTTTTCATAATTGGTGCTAACATTTTTCGATTAGCTCTTCCCAAAATATAGTGAGATACGCAAAAATTGTGATTATCATGCTCCGGACGGCATGTAAATATTTTCGAGTGGTAGTCATCTAATGTAAAATTCTTGGTTTAGTAAATTCGATTTATAGGGTTTTTACTCACCGCTGCTTCTAAATAATTCAAAGGCTCCACTTTACTTTGTTACAGTTACCTTTTAAAAAGTTTGCAAAATAAACCGGAAATCTGCATATTTTAGTTTGTAGCATTCTACCGTCTTTTTAAAACATTTTGTCGAATCCGGAAGAGGTAGGCAGGTACTTTATTTTACGTCGGTCCCGCAGTGGACTACTCGTTAAGACACGGTTCCCAGCAGATCACCGAAGTCAAGCATCACTGGCTACGATCAGTGTGTGGGTGGGTGACCACTTGTATCAGTCTGCGCAGGGACCAAGGGTGTGCGGTATTGGTCCTCGTTAAACTGTGCTACCGTAAAGTGCTCGACTTCGCGCGCAGGTCGTCGGGCTACCGAAGTTGGGGTGCCATCAAAATTGTGATGGCATGTCTTCGGATCATCCTCCAGGATGTTTCCCATACCGTCGCCAATAGCCCATTGTGCAGCTCTAGTGCGACGTAAATTAACAACAACAACAATATTTTACGTCGCACTAGAGGTGCACAATGGGTTATGGGCGACGGTCTGGGAAACATCCCTGAGGATGATTCGAAGACATACCGTCGCAATTTTGATCCTCTACAGAGGGGATGGCTTCCCTTCTATGGTAGCCAGATGATGCGCGCGATGCCGAGCACTTTACGGTGGAACAGTTTAACGAGGACCGATGCCGCACCCCTCTCGGTCCCTACGATGGCTGATCAAAGTGGTCACCCACCCGCTAACTGACCTCAGTCGTTGATGCTTGTGTTCTACTGGGAACCGTGTCTTTAAGATCAGTACACTGCGGGACTGTCGAATCCGGAGCAATTGGCATCTTTGTGAAGGGGTCCTAAACTATCGTATTTAGCCGATTGTGGCTACTCCCCATATTTTGATAATCAAAAATTCATATCTGTCGCATTCAGAGAGAGTGCACGTTTGTATCTGATTCTGTAACTAAATTAATAATAGCTTAGCAATAATAATTAATTAACGTAATTGAAATAATCCCTTTGAATCATTAGATTTTTTTAGCGCTCTTTGTAAATCTGCCAGAATTGCCTAAAGCAACAGGAAATATTAAATGTCATGATCGAAATGAATGATCGTTTTACGATTTATTGGAGTCGTCACAATAGGTTTTACGATTTCTGAACGTTCTGTAATGATCTCAGTTAATAGCCACGCATTGTGCTTCATATACACAAATGTGTGTATGTAGATGTAGTCCGGTCGTTATAGCAAGTCTTTGTAGTTCATTCACTATTCATACGAGCTGTAGTATTTGTTAGGAAATGTGTTGCCTTATTTTAGCGAAAAAGAATTTTTCTCTTCTGTCTACCTCCGGAAGAACTCTGCACCTCTGAGGTTTCTACAAATAATTTTTTTCCTTGATATTAAACTGTAACTTAACTTTTTATTATTGTTATGGGAACATGGAGGACTTTGAGACTCGATGGATTTAACGTGGATCAGTGACCATTTACTGCACGAGGAATCTTCGGCCGGCGGATATCGAACCCACGCATTCTTGGACATGGGCCCAGTGCCCTACCAACCAGGCTTTCTCGGCCAAATTTTGTCTTATGATACAAAATAAATTTGTAAAAAACCTCTGATCATTTTGAACTTTTTTTTTTGACTAAAAGTACTTAGAAAATTCCTTGAAACTTTTAAAATTTATAAGACATTCAAATCGAATTTTTTTTTATTAGTTGCCAAATACGATTCACTACAAAATTGGAAGAAACTTATTAAAAAAATTTTCAGTGCATGCGCGGTATAAAAGAACTAGTTTAAATGCTCATAACTGGCGCAGTTTTTAACGAATTTATTTAAAATTTTATGTCGACAATTTTGTAGTTAAATCTTACATTGTTCTAAACATTTTGTTTCATTCCCTTGAATGTCTATAAAGTTATAACGAAAAAACGTAAGGCGAAAAAATTAATTTTTTATAAAAATGTCCATATTTCCATAAATATTAGCTCTAGGTTTACAAAACTTTATGCAATTATTAACAATAAGAACTAAAATAATCGGTACAAGTTTTTTTGCTTGATTTTCTGGCATAGGGTGTTCAAAAATACTTTGTTTCTTTCGTAATTTATTGTAGGTTTTCCAAACCTCTGAAAGCTTTAAATTTTATTGCTAAGTATGAAACATCGCATGAACTAAACATCTCTAAAGTTACAAAATAATCCTTTAAGTATTTCTTGACCAATTTAAAAAAATGTCAGAAACTGATAGTGTCTCTTCCATTATTGTAGGGTAATGTAGCATTCTTGGCAGTTATAACTAAAGTTTTGAACGTGTTTTTTAAAATCTCGATGATTTTAATACAATATTATTTCAATGTAGAAAATTTTCTTCACATTTTAAAACCGATTTGTAAATTGCGTGAATTCATCGCAGTATTAATTTGTTCAGATCGTCAGTATTATGAGTCCCTAAAGAACCACACCATCTTATGTGAAGTGCTCCATTCAATTATTTTGTGATCTCTCCTTTTTGGAGTTGAGAATAAATTCTGGAAGGTTATTAAGAATTTGGATTTTGGTAACGTTATGTGTATTACTGTACTTCTTGCGGATAACTGACAGGGCATCTGCCCACCTGGAAAGTCATGAGAAATCATGGAAAGTCATGAATTTCGGTATTGAACAAAATTTGTCATGAAATGTCATGACTATTTTCCAATAAACTATTTTTGTGAAAAAAGAATCATGTAAAGTCATGCTTTTAGATCGCTGAAAAGTGTAATTTTGAAAATGGAATTTATCTCCCCTCCCAATTTCATGGTGTTCCGAATATCTGAATTTGTAATAAAATCCCCATTCACAGTCATATTTTATTAAAGTATAAAATGTTTTATCTTGTTCTTTAAAAATTATGGTGTTCTTTCAAAAAATGAAGGAAAAGACATAATTTTTAGAAATAATTATCTTTTAAACTTCTATGATTTCAGAATTTTTGCCATTTTTTTATTTTTTTTTTATATTTTATTAATTTCAAATTCTAGCTGAAGCAAGCCAGTCATTGGCGATTTTTTTTTTAAATTCTGAAATGAGAACGGAAAAATCTGGAGTATTTCTTTCCTTTTTGATTAACAAGAAAAGTATCTTTAGAATATCATTCTGCAGAAAAAAAGAAAAGAAAAAAAATTATTTGCTTCTGTATTTTTTTTCCGGCTATTTTATTCCTTCAACTCTCTCTTTATTCTGTTTTTTAGATTTAAAATCTATTGATATGAAGATACAGAGTATAACTGTGTTGGTTACACCTATCATTTCAATTAATGTCATTATAATGCTTTTTTAAATGCAATGTTGTGTTTTGTCAGAGAAAATAGTAACTTCAATAAGTCATGTAAAATTCTTGGAATTAGTCATGGAAAGTCATAGAAATCTAAAATGTTGCGGATACCCTGTAGCTAGTTTTGGAAATCGATTCATCTGTATACTATATTACAAAAATGATCTTTTGTCTGTGTTATTTCACATTTTATTTATGTATGGGCATAAAGTTAAACTTTCTTTCATAAAAGGTGAAGAATGCACAAATGGAAGGGTTAATCTAATCAACAGCAGCCCATCAGCAGGAAGCAAACGAATACCGGTTAATTCTGAAGAGAAGTCTTGCCTGAGTCCAGACCTACTGCATACTCACTTGGAGGATGACAACAGCACTACTGTATCCACTGTTAATCCCCTCTATGAAATGCTAACAGAAAAAGGTACAAATAATGTTACCATGTAAGTGGTGTCACGCATGGAAGGGGAGTGGCAGGGTTGGCATGATAAGAAAACAAATCATTATTTTAAACTAATTGTGATTTTTTTAAAATATTATTTTAAACAGCACTGATTTTTAAAAAAAATAAATTAATTTACGTCTAAATTAATAATGGTCCTCGTTAAACTGTTCTACCTTGAAGTCTTCGACTTCACACGCAGGTTGTCTGGTATCGAAGTAGGAGGAGCCATCAGAAAAAAATTGTGAAATTTTTGTTACAAGGGGCTAAGAACAGTGTGACAATGCAGGTGTTTGTTAAACTAAAATCATTAAAAATTACCGATATATTTTTAAATTTAATTTGTTTTTGAATTTTTCCATCAATATAAGTATAAATCAAATCATCATCATTATTATTCTCACAAATATTATCAAAACAGATAATTCGAAAAAAAGAAAATACAAGTTTCTTGGAAAGTCATTTATTGTTTTTTTAACATTCTTGTTGTAAGTTAAAAAATAAAGATTAGAGAGTATGCTAATTTTAAAATGTAATAAATTGACTTTTAAACTATAGGCATTATCATTTGTATGTAAGTAAAATGGTTTTTAGTCATAAATTAATAATACTGTTGAAGATTTTTATGATGCAAATCTTAATACGTAAAGCTTTGACTTATATAGAATTTTGTGTTATATGGATCACATATAATATTTATTTGCTGAAAATGTAAACATGTATCTGAAACAGATCTATATGAATGCTTTAAAAAAATTTTAAATAAGAAATACTTTATAACACAAAAATATGCCCTTAAATATTTATTATTTACAGAAAAAATTTAAAGTTTTAAGAGCATTAGAACAAGTCAACAAATTGATTAATTTTTGTTTGTTTTTGAGCTTGTAAAGTTAATATGGTTTAAGAAGAATTGTGATTTATAGAATTGCGTTCTACTGTATTAAAGATATCTATGTATGATACTTTTCTCGTATGTGTGCAAATATGTACTATCTATGAAAAAAGTATTATATATTTTGCTTTTATAATTTTTAAATATATGCAGAAATAGAATAGCAGAATAAAGTTAACATTTTTAATCATCTGGGCAGGCCTTACAATGAGCAGTAAATAAAATTTGTATCTTTTAGGAGGAATGGAGCGAAAGAGTTATATGTCTCACCATTCCATTTCTGATTTGGAAGTGGGTTCAGTTGTAGAAGTAATGATCAACAACAGCCCATGCTACGGTGTCATTCGATGGATCGGGGAGATTCCGGAAGCGAGGGGAAAACTCGTAGCTGGAATTGAAATGGTAAGTGCAATTAACTAATATTTTTTTTTTAAATCGTGGATTTTATCATACATAAATATTATTTAAATACCTTTATTTAGTTTGTATCAGTGTGGTTGCTATGTATAGTTATTTCTTTCTAACATACTTTATATATACATGTATACATATACATACAGACACATACTGATTCTGCTTGAAGTAGTTCTCAAAATGAAATATACCTAGATGGCAGCACAAAGTCACGTGATTAGTAAATGTTTATTTTTATGTAGTTTAGTTCTCTATGTTTTTGTCTCTGTTAATAAAACCGGCATGGTAATTTCCAAGTGATTATTTCCTTGAGAAGGAATCCTTTTACACATACATATGTATATATAAGAAAAAAATACAACAAAAAAATAATAAAAAAACATAAAAAGGAGAAACGTTTTTTAAAAAAAGAATAAGGAAAACTCCAAAAAATAACACACTTATTTTAAAAATTCTTTTGTAATAATATAGTATTAATATAGCTATATTAATACAATATTAGAAAGCACTCTAATTTGCTTATATAATAATCGTGTGAGTTGACAATGAAATTATATCTTTTTGTTTTCTTGTTTTTTTAATAATTTTTTTAAAAATTTTGAATGGATTTTCTAAAATAAATTAGTTACTTTCGGTAATTTTTCTTTTTGAATTTTTTTTTCTTTTCTATTTCTTACCATTGTTATCTTTGTATTTATATCTTATTATATGGGTTTTATGTACTTGCAGCTTATGCACAGTTAATAAAACTTATTAATTTTCTTAAATTCTTTTTTGGCTCTTTATAGTGTTTTAAAGCATTAACAGAATGAGTTCATAGTGTAACTGGTGGATGTTTAACATAGATACAGGAACATGGATAGTAAAAGAGTATTTTATATAGGTAAAGGACGGAGGCCCAAGAATGAGAAGTTTACATTCTAGTTGCTAGATGGAAAAGAAGTAATTTGACCTTGAAAAGAGCGTTTTTATATCTTTCTCGACATTATATTTAAGCATTATATATCTATCTATATATTTATACAGGCTTGAACTTAATCATGTCTACCTTTTCCTGTGTAAAGGTTTAATTACACTGTTAACATTCTACTACTACCCTTTGGTTCCCTCTTGGGGTCTCCCCAAAAAGCAAATTGAAAAGTATTGTTTCTTAATTTGTCACTTGTTAGGTGAAAAGGAAAAAAAAATATTTGTTTTCCACTAGGATGTAGAACATTCAATTCAATAAAATTGTTATAAAAAAAAAACGCAAAGAAAATTTCAATTGTAAATAATAGCGAAATAAATCCAATTATAAAGCAAAATAAATCTAATTATAAACAATATTATTTTTTAAAAAATGAAAAATTTTTGATACGGTGTTATAATATAAATCTAAATAAATTGATTTTCAGGAAGAAGAGAGCTCGAGTTGCACTGATGGTACATTTAATGGCAAAAGATATTTCACATGTCCACCCAGAAAAGCATTTTTTGTTCGCCTAACTCATTGCAAAAAAGATAGTCGATTCCTTGAATCAGAAAAAAGAAGAAGTGCAGGTGAATTTATTCTTCCTCATCTAAGATCAAGGGAACAAATGGATTTATGTCCATTTCTCACAAAAATTGCCAGCTTTTGAAGATTCAAAAGTTTTGATGAAAATTAATAAGTTAAGTATTGTCTACAATAATGTAGACAATAGGTTCTCCCATGAGCCGTGATGGCTCAGGGATAGAGTGTATGTGCCTTCCAATGAGGTGAACCGGGTTCAAATCCCACCGATGACTGGTTGATACGAATTCCGCATCCGGCTTGCATCAACCACAATGCTGACATAAAATATCCTCAGTGTTAAATGGATCACGTGTTTGAGTCCCCTTTCTATCCGTCTAACCGTGGGAGGTTTTCCTCCATAATGCAAATGCTGGAAAGTTCCATCAAAAATTCCTCCATGAAAGCAAATTTCTTCCAATACTTGCTCTAGGAGTTTCCTTGTCTTCTGGATTGGGTTCAAAATTGCAAGGCTACAGTGTTGAGCATTAGTAGTCGTTAACCCAAAAAATTGGGTCGACTGTTCAGCAACGGTTTAAAAATAAAATAGGTTCTTCCTGATAATTATTCTCCGTACAGTGCCGTTGAAAACCAGATTTTGCCTGCCCTGAAATTCGTTTTTGTGGACATAAACCGTTCTTCCCCTTGATCTTCAATTGTTATCATTTACCTGTTGTTCGGTAATGCCTTTTATAACTCAATTTTAACCAAAGCTTTGAACTTTTAAACATTTTATTTTAATGGAGATGTTTTTTTTTAGTAATAACCTTATTTGTAGATGAATTTAAATCAATAATGGTTTATAAAGATTTTGTTTAACTGTCTGAAATATTGAAAGGGACTTTAGGAGATTACTAATTTTATTGAGGGAGACATATTCCCACAGTTCCTTCTGCCATAATCCTATCTAATTTTATTTTCATAAGATTTTAGTAAAAGTGAATGTTAAGTGAAACAAGTTAAGAACTCAAACTGAATGTTCATTTCAGTAATTTATTTGTGCTTTATTCTGGTTGTTTTTTTCTTCCTCCTACATAGCACAAAGTATATCCTATCTTCCTTTTTAAAATTAATCAATGCTTTTGAGCAAAATAAATTAATTAAACTAAATTAATTTTTAAAAAATTTACATTTTATGCTTTTACTTTTTAGGAAAGTTTCGACTCCATGCTTTTTTCGATTTGCGCATGCATTCTTTATGTTTGCTGTTTCTTGACAAAATTTACTGAACTCAACCAAAAACAAATTATCTGAACATTTTTAGAAAATTGTCTGATCAAACTTTGTTCACACAACATTTGCTGAAATCGGTGTTTCATCGAAAGTGTTGCTTACACTGATAAAAATTAGGTGATCTTTTAAATCACACTATCTTCAGGGAGCTAGAATTAAACTATGCCTTTTTCTATGAATCTAAATCTGAATTAATATTTTTTTTTAAATGTTTTTTTTTGTAAAAATATTATAGCTGTTGGAGTACATAATGTTCTTTTGAAAGGCAATATTAAATTTGATATTAAATGAGATGAACGGGGAATTACAAATAAATTTCGAAAATGATGCTGCTATTTAATTGAAGATATATGTATTTTTTTCTGGAATTTAACTATGAAAAGATTCATTTATTCTGAAGATGCTTAATAATATTATCTGTTCATTAAGACAAGACACAGTAAGTGTCATCCTATTCTATTTAAAAGAACTTAAATTTTTGAAAACAATTCTGAAAAATGTATAAATTCTGAAATACTTTTTCAAAATCTGTATTATGTTTTCTTTTTTGAAACATTATTTTGTAATAAATTAAGAATTGTATTCAAACCACATTTTTAGATAATAAAATGTCTTATATTATCAGTTTGTAAGCTTTGCTAAATAAGAAAACTAATTATATATATATATTTTAATTAAAAACAATGAAAATCTATGCTAAATAAGAAAGCTAATTTTAACATTTTTTTGAGTAAAAACTGTGAATGTCCATTACCTAAGGAAAACAATTTAGGAGAGCAGAGTTATGATTTTAATTTTTCCAACTTATGAAATTTTTATAAAAATGCTCACAAAATGCTTATTTTATAATTTCTTATTTTTATGAAAATTATGTTATTTTATTTTATAGTGTTTGGCAGTATAGACTGTCCTTCAGTTACTGGTGATGTGCCTCCCTTATCCAGTCCTGAGGACATGAAGTTATTGTATGGTAAAAACCGTGGGATCCAAGGTCACCACAACTCTTGTTACCTGGATGCCACATTGTTTGCAATGTTCTCCTGTACTGGGGTCTTTGATTCCATACTTCACAGGCCCAAGAATATTGACGACATTGCGGAGTATGATGAAGTACAAAGAATTCTAAAGGAAGAAATTGTGAATCCACTCCGTGCGTAAGTTTTTTATTATAAATAAACTACTCTTTACTAGTTCCAGGGTATCTGTGCACCTGGAAAGTCATGAATTTCGGTATTGAACAAAATTTGTCATGAAATGTCATGATTTTTACTATTTTGGTTAAAAGAAATTATGGAAAGTCCTGGATTTAGGTTGCCAAAAAATCTAATTTTTAAAATGTTCCCAATATTTGAATTTGTAACAAAATTCCCCACTCACAGTCATATTTTATTAAAATATAAAATGTTTTATCATGTTCTTTAAAAATTATGGTGTTCTCTCAAAAAATGAACGAAAAAACATTTCTAAAGCAAATTATCTTTTAAACTTCTGTGATTTCAGAACTTTTGTATTTATTATTATTTTTTTATCAATAAAAAAAAGAAGAAAAAATTATTTGCTTTTGTATTTTTTTCAGCTATTTTATTGCTTCAACTCTTTCTTTCCTCTGTTTTTTAAATTTAAAATCAATAAGTATGAAGATGCAGATTATAAAATTTTTGGTTACCTATCCCTTCAATTAATGCTATTATAATGCTTTTTTAAAGGTTTTGTGTTTTTTTCAGAGAAAATAGTAACTTTGTTAAGTCATGACAAATTTTTGGAATTAGTCATGAATTTGAAAATCTAAAATGTAGCAGATACCGTGTAGTTCATATTTTAATTTTTATCAATATGAAAAAAAAATATAAAAGGTTTTCAAGCCAAATCTGATATTATCGTCAAAAGGTAGCTTCTGCACCAATAACCGAAAATTTCATATTTACTGTGTAATCTTTGACTACGCTAGTTAGTTTTCTTTAGGTTGTTGAAATATGCTGTTTTTTTTTACTCTGCTGCACAATGATTCAAATTTGGGATTTGTCTATTACTGAAGAGAGTGCAGTGGTGCATTTTCAAGAATATGGAATCATTTCTTCTGGCAAAAATAGCTTCTGTGATTTTTTCTAACACAATTATAAAAAAATAGACGTTTTTACTTTGTTTTAATTCTTTTTACAACGGTTTGTTATTACGTATTTTTACACTTACGTTTTTTTTTGTCATTATTATTATTTGATAAATTTAATGTGATTAGAATGTTTATTTTGGAAATTGCTTTTCATTATGATGGCACCAAAGGATTTGCACATTTTTGCAAGCATTGATAGATCAACGGGATAATCCCAAAGTGCCGTTTTTTTTCCTTCAAAAATGTATATTCAAAACTTTTTTGAATAAAGAATAAGTTGTCTCAAAGTTCAAACAAGAGATAATTCTAGTAGAAACCACAGGTTTTTTTAATTAATTATAATTTTTTTTATTTATTTCTAAAATTTATGTATGAAGTAGCACAAAGGCTTTAATTTTTTTTTCTGGTTATAGAATCTTAAATAATTGACCTTCTTTTGAAGGAATCCTAGCATTATAAAAAAAGTTCAATAGCAACTGTGATTATACTAATAAAAAAAAAGGACTACTAATTAATTTGAAAATGTTTTATAAGAATAAAATATTTAATTTTTTCGAATTTGTTCTTGTGTATGCATATGCTGAAAATGAACAAAATAAGCTGCTTTATGGTTTCCAAAAGAACAGTGTAAAAAAATTTGAGAGTAGTTACCAGAGAAACATAATTCTTTATTCTTGAGTTAGGTTATTTTATTTTGAATTGAAAAGCTCGATGAGAAATGTTTCTTAAATTTTTAATAAATGCATATTTTTTCATAATTTATTCAATATATTTTACTGAAAATTTTTATTTTAATTTTGCTACTTCTTTTTGTTTGCAATTTACATAAATAACAGAGATGTCAACTGCTCCGGAATGCCAAAATAATTTAAAAATCGGTAAGTGACTACAAACTAAAATTTGCAAATATTTGACCAATTTTGCTTACTTTTTAAAAGGTTTAATATGATTTAACTGTAACAAAGTGGCGAATTATATACCCTTCGAATTATTTTGAAATAGTGGTGGATTAAAACCTAATAAATTGAATTTATTAAACAAAGAATCACAATTAATAAACTACCACTTGAAAATATTTATTCACTGTCCGGAGAAAGTTGGCATCTCTGAAATAAGTTCATATAAACAACCAAAATATCAAATAAATTATGAATTATTGATTGGGTATAAATTTAATTATTATTGGTTATGAAAAGGGTTCCATGGATGGAACCCTTTGAAAATCTTTTGGGAACTGCTGAAATAGCATATCAAATTAATGGCCTCTATGGATTTTACTAGCAAGTACTCACTTTTTTGTCAACAATTTTGATGGACCACTTAAATATGGCTGAATTTTCCAGATTCAGCACTTACTTTCTTCTTTCTAGATATTAATGGTTTTGCCATTAATCTTAGACCTGGGCATAAACTTGTTTCGTTAAATGATCTGAATGGGCAATTTATTCTTTTAGATTGGTGATTGGGCCAAATTATTGTTCGACAATGAAAAAAGTTTTATTATTTTCTATAACGCTTCATATTTTTAATAACAGTGAATTGTCAGCTATTTTTTTATTTATCTTGGCCGCATTTTATTGCACAGAGGGAACAAAATTCTAATCTTTTTTGAATTTTGGACATCTTTTAGAATACAATAATTATTTTAAAAATTAATGAACAAGTTATTAAATAATTGTTTTTGGTATGTAGTTTGTTTTTTAAGCAATATTAAGCTATCAAAAACTCTCAACACGTTTTTTAAAAGAAATTTTGATTTTAAGTATGACAAAATTAAAGTTATTTTTTCATCTTAAGCCTACTTGAAAACATGGTTTTAAAAAGTATTTCTTCTGTTATCCTAACATAGATGATGTTCATCATTATTTAGAATTTGTGTTTTATAAATTCTTAACTTTCCCCATCTTGAATATTAATTTATTTGTGTTTTCATTTTATGATGTTTTACATAAATAAAAATGTGTGTAGTAACCAACTGGAATTTGAATTTCAGGAATTTCTATGTTCGGGCTGATCGAGTGATGGAGCTGCGTAAGAGGCTCGAAAGGCTGAGCTCTGTTCGTGGTTTAACTTCGGAAGAGAAAGGTACATGTTTTTATTAGCTATGTCTAAAGCTAAAGTAACATGCTTTAAAGAAACATTGTGAACATACTTAAAATTTTCTACTACCACTATTGGCTTTAACTAAATTTAGTTTTAAACTTCCAACAACTCTCCCACAAAATTTCTTTGATATTTACCCTTCTAAAATTCTCTTTTTCCTTTTTTGTTTCCACTACTTTGCTAGGCAGAAAAACAAATAGGAGGAAAGTGTTAAGGCCCAACTCTTAGATTTTTGTGACCTTAGAAATTGATTAGGTATTTTTAAAAACATTTACATATTTTTGCTTATGATAGAAAACGACGTAATCTTATAAATCTTAGAAAATGACTTGGTAGTTTTTTTAAAACTTTTTTTTTATTTCCAATGGCAAAGGAAATTGACAAACTCTTATAAGATTAACAAAGAACAGGAATAAAAAAGAACACAATAAGAGAAAAAAGTCAATATGCCATCAGCAGATGTCGAGTGCTCCAGTATCGCTGGACCTCTGAGCCCACACGCAGGGCCGTGCATCCAGAAAAACAAGGTAGGCAATTAGAGCCGCGATGGCTCAGGGGATAGAACAATCGCCTTGCAATGAGATGAACCAGGCCTGAATCCCACCAATGACTGGTTGATATGAATGTGCATCCGGCTTGCACCAACCACAGCGCTAACGTGAAATATCCTCAGTGGTAGACAGATCATGGGTTAGACTCTTAGCCGACAGACTAACGGTGGGAGGTTCTTGCGGTCTTCCTCTCCCAGTAACGCGAATGCGGGTTAGTTTCATCAAAAATTCCTCCACGAAGGCATTTTTCACAAAAATTGCCATTTGTTGCTTTTGAAGGTCAATAAGTTTTGACAAATCAATAATGTAGACAATAGGTTGTTCCAAGAGCCGTGATGGCTCATAGGATAGAGTGTTCGCCCTCCAATGAGCTGAGCCGGGTTTGAATCCCTCTGATGACTGGTTGATACGAATTTCGCATTCTTGATCCAAGAGTTCCCTTGTCTTCTGGATTGGGTTTCAAAATTACAAAGCTACATTAGTAGTCGTAAACCCCAAAATTGGGTCGGTTGTTCAACGACAGTTATAATAAAAAATATAAAAAGTAGGCAATTAGGACCCGTGAAAATGCCAATTCGGTGAAGGTGGTTCATCAGTCAGTTGTGGCCAATCACGAGTTTGAATTCTGTAACAGCCTCTGTACAGGGTTTACCTTATGTATTTTGGTCTAAGCAAGCTATTTCCATAAATTCTTGAAGAAACATGAGAAGTGAGCAAGGCTTTCCAATTTTGTCTTANCGTGATGCATATATTTTAAAAGTGTTAAACGCAAAGTTCCATATCTATTACATTTTGTTTTTTACCTGCTTAATTATAATACACTTTTAGTACCATATTCGATCCATATCTGTATTATTTCCAAAATAGATTGTGAACACTTTATATTTAATTTGTACTTCACAAATTACTTTACATTCTCAAAGATACTTTGTCTGTGTTTAGATCCGGAAGAGTTTCTGAATTCGCTGTTGAATCAAATATTGAAAGCAGAGCCTTTCCTTAAATTAAGGTAAGAAATTAAAGTACAATTAAAAACTGTAAAAATAGTTCTTTGTTTAGAGGAATAAAGCTTAGTTCTTTTAGCAGAATTAGTTCTTACAAAATCCTTTTTTTTTTAAATTCTATATTTGTCTATTTTCTGCCTTTTTAAAGTGAAATATTTGATAAAAAAAATGTTTCATTTCCAACTTAGTAAACCAAAGTGAAAAAAGAAGGTACACAAACAAAACTAGCAGCAAGCAAAGTGCAAACAAATAAAACTGAACTATAAAAAAACAAAAGGACATCAGTTAAGTAATTAAACCATCGGTTCCCAGTAGGTGTTCTCTAGAACCCTAGAAAAATCACCGAGTTTCCAAAAGTTAGGACTATATTTTACCTATATATACACAAACAAAGCTAGTAGCAAGCGAAGTACACACAAACAAAACTGAACTGTAAAAAAGGACATCAGTTAAACTATTAAACCCTCGTTTCCCAGTAGGTGTTCTAAGGAACCCTAGAAAAATCACTAGGTTTCTGAAAGTTAGGACTATATTTTACCAATTATGATTTAATTTAATCTATAATTATAATTATATTTAAATCTATAATTATATTCTGACAATAACATGATATTTATTTAATAATAATTTGGTTGTTTCATTATGTTTTTTAGTCAAACATAGGTTAAGGAAAGAAAAGCAATACTTATATTGAAAAAAAAATAATGAAAAGGACATGCTTGTATAAAATTTCCATTTAGCTTTTCCAATCAAACTTTTCAATCTCAAATGAAAAAAAAAATATAACTAAACCCAAGGATAAAGAAATATGTTTCTCTGTTAACCTTAAGAAATATGTCATAGTTGAACAAAACTTAGGAACCTCTGATATGTGAAAGCCTCCCTATGAGCCTCCCTATGAAAGGATCCTGCTTTCAGGATTCAGAAGAGGGCAAGGTCACGGGGGAAGGCAAGCTAGGTTGTTGTGAGGCAATTGTAATTCATTCAAAAATTGATTAGAAATTGAACGATTAATTATTAATTTCAAAACACCAAAGTTAAAAGATACGCTTTACTTAGTTAATGGCTATTTCATACTATGCAGAACTGATAAATCAAGTTCTGCAATTGTTAGAATAACCTAATTGAGACCATTGTATGTGCGCAAAAAGGTTTTACTTCACACAATTTTAAATAAATAACTATATTATAAACAAATGTATTTTCTGAACATTATTTATTGTTTGTTTCCTTTCATTTATTTCATTTTTTTTGTCATAGTCATAATGAAAGGATTTTTTTAATTGGAGCACAAATCTATTTGTATTATATTATCTTTGAAACACTTCATGTCAAAGACATTTTGTAAGCCCTTAGAGCATTAAAAATATTAAAACAATTAATTTCCAGAAACAATTTTTCAAACTGTTGTCCATAGTTTCTCAAGTTTTATTGAACCGATTAATTTTTTTACATATTATATATACAGTCGTAAACTACAAAATAAATTCGAACCATAAGTTGATTTTATTATCTTTTTATTTATTTTTGCTAAATTGTGTTATAAAAATAAGTGTGGAAATCGGAATTGCTGCTCAGTTAATAACAAAGGTTTTGGTTAAAATGAAATATCAGAGGGTTGGTTACGAAAGAAAAAAATGTGTATTGTTTTGAGGCTCAACAATCAATGCCAATTTGCATCAAAAAATTATGCATCTTGTCATTGTGAACTCTTCAACTGTTCATTATTGTATTCAATCTTATTTAAAATTCAAATGTAGAATAAAAATCCTTAATAAATGCAACTATAGTTAACTTAATAAATGCATTTTTAACAGGATTATTTAGATACAATAAGCCTGCCTAACTCATGTTATTCAAAATGATCAAAAATAAAATACATAAAACTGAACTAAAAGCAATTTAAAATGGTTATCTTTAATACGCCTTTATTTATTTATTGATACAGAAAAAAGAAAGAAAGAAAAGGAAAATTTTGTTCTTTAGAAATTGTTCAATGTGCAAATTTAAAAAATCGAAACGACTGGTTAACTTTTGTATTGTTAATCAGACCTTTAACCTTTATGGTTAACGTTTCTCCATTGAAGTTAGGGATTAGGATGCAAAAATTGCTACATTTTATTCAGATGTTAGGGAGGTATTGAGCAAAATGGCCTGTTTAAGAACTTGTTAATATTAATAATGTAGGACATTTCTTTTGAAGTATTTCTTGAAATAGAATGAAAAGGTTTACTTCTAAAATGAGGGAAAATTTTCAGAACTAAGCATTGAATAAAGTAAGTTTCAGAATGCTATAAACTATTAAAATTTCATATTTATTAAAGAAAATAAGGATAAAATGCACTGAGTCTGCATTTTCGATGAAAAAGGTGGTGTTTTTAAATCTCCTACTACTAAATTTATTGGTGGGTATATTATAGGGAGGTACTGCAATTTCTGCTGTTAAATATTGCAACTGCAGTGAAATTTAATATTTTCAGTCTTTCTCTACCTAAATAATACGAGGGTTTTATTAAATGCAACTTCCTATGTATCTTTTATGCAAAAAAAGCATGGAAACTTCATTTTTACAAGTTTGAGAAAAAAGTGTTTTTTAAGTTTAATGAAGAAATGCTATGTTTTGTGCAGGTTTTTTGTAATTAACATTTATTAAAAAATTTGAGCCACCTGAGATTTCTTTAATTGAGAACTCTCTCCTATTAAAGCAGTTTAACCCAATTCAAAATCATTTAGAATTATGAAAACTTTAAAGGCTTTCTAATTTTATTATTGATAATATTGATTTGAAAAATATTTCTTCTATTTCTCTACCTAAATAATAAGCGAGTTTTACTAAATGCAACTTCCTATGTACTTTCTATGTAAAAAATACACGGAGACTTGACTTTTACAAGCTTGGAAAAAAAGTGTTTATGAAGTTTAATGAAGAAATGCTATGTTTTGAGTAGGTTTTTTATATTTAACATTCATTAAAAAATTTGAGGCACCTGAGATTTCTTTTCATTGAGGACTCTCTCCTATTAAAGGAGTTCAGTCCAATTCAAGGTCGTTTAGAATATTGAAAACTTTAAATGCTTTCGAATGTTGTTGGGTTTTCTTATTTAATAGTTTCTAATTGTTCTTTCTTTAGCTCTGGACAGGAATCTTACTTTTATCAGTTATTTGTAGAAAAAGATGAGAAATTAGTGTTACCTACAGTACAACAGTTATTCGATCAATCATTTTTAGCGTCTGATATCAAACTTACAGAGGTATGTTTTTCATAAATACTTATTAAAAGAATATTATGGAGGTATTAGATTCAATTGTAATTATTAATTTATGGTTAAATTAAAAAATGGATAATTATGTTAGTAATAGGACTGGGCGATATAAGAAATTTCATATCGTGATGCATCGTCAGTTTTGCATCACGATATAGTATTTTTGAAATTCATTTACTTGTAAGGCGCAGAAAGTCGGTTTTCTATCAAAACTTCATACTCAGATTGATTTAAATCAATTGATGAATTTGATGTATATGTTTTGCTTAAGTAACATGTTAATGTTATATTTTCTAAAAATGATCGCGCAAATAACGAAAGATTTCTTAGTTTAAAATATTCATTTTATCAGNTATCAATATATTTACCTAACAATATAGAAAGAAAATTTAAAAAATAAGTTCGTTAAAAATTATTTGTATGCTTAAAACAAAGTGCTAAATAAATTAAACAAAAAAAAAACACTTTTAAAACAACACTATTTTTTATCATTATTATTTCACATAAATAATAAAGTTAAATTTAATAATTACCGAATTCTGAACGAAAAAACAAAGTAAGGCTTAATTTCTTAAAAATAAAAATAAAAGAATTATGATATCCGATAATATATTCAACTGACAATATTGAAAAAAAATTAAAAGACACGATTATACTCTTTAATAAAACAAAGTGCTAAATGATTTTTAAAAAAGAAGTCGTAATCGCAAACACTACTAATGTATTTGAATAAACAAAGTTGATTGACTTATGCCCAAATCCAAAAGAGGAAAAATAACTTTTGTTATAATTTTATTTATAAAAATGAAAACAACTAAAGATTTATAAATTTAAAATCAGTAATAAAAACCCATTAAATTATTATTTCATCCAAAAAGTTTTTAATAAATCAAAATAAAGTAAAAAATAGCCTAACAAATTTAATTACTTTTCAGTTTAATTCTTTATGGGCACCTTAAATTAGATTTCCGTTTGTAATAAATTCAATAATGTAAAATAATACTTAAACATATAATATCAAAATTAATTTTCACATTTAAAAATAAAGAAAGTTTTGTTTCAAAAAAAAATTTACCTAATTAATTTAGAAGCACTTCTTTATATATTCTTTTCAATAATAGATTACGTTCAGAACAAGGTAACGACGGCGATCACAAAGTCAGTCCCACTGAAAATAATCTACAAGAAACGATATCAAGTCGCGACAAAGAAGAAAAAAAAACTAAGAGGTGCGGAAACGAACATGCGAGATCACGATATATGTTCTCAAAACTGATTCTGATTCTACCGCTCATCAATCAAGGCCGTTTCAATATAACGATACGAACATCGTCTTCCCCAGCGCGAGTTGGCATCGGAACGTAAGAGATCCTTGCGTGTCTTGTATCGCTATATCGTATATCGCTATATCGTTCGTCTTCTTTACTCGACGGCTTAAATCAGATTTCTGATGCATCGCCTGGAGCGAAAGTCGCTGTATCGGCCTGCCGATACAGGCGTTAAATCGATATGTCGCGATATATCGATTTATAGCCCAGTCCTAGTTAGCAAAATAATTCTTTTTAAGTTACGAAAATATTTATTCAGTTAGAGGATCAAGAGAAAATTATAAATATTTTGCACATTCAAATAATGTGTTTTCTAACAGGAAGGAAATTTCTAAGAGGAAACTTTAAAAGAATAAATCAATATTATTTTAAAGCTATAGTTTGTCTAAAAAAAGAACTCCCCTAGTCATTCGCCTGGACCCGTGGCCGTGACTATGGTAAAGAGGTATAACAATTTCAAGTAGTGGTGTGGGGTCATTTAGACAGGTTTTTGTAAAAGGAAAGGAATCTTTTTCTTAGGTCTATTGTGTTAGTTCTAGAGTGAATAGAAGCTACCCTACTTGAAATGCTCTATTTTTGTTTCCATAGCAGCAGACAGGCCTCGGACTTAGTGGCGAGGGAAGTTCTTACCATAGACAAACTATACTAATTCTATCCTCCATATAGTTTTATTTTTTATAAATCAAGTTTTTAAAAATTAACACACTTTATATTAGGGGTGTACAATCTTTTTGAGTGAAGGGCCACTAGCGCAGCAGGTAAATTAGTGAAAAGCTGCATGCATATTTAGTCATGTTAGTGCCAAATATGATAATTTTTATAAGAACAATAACATTCTAAGCACTAAATATTTTTATCAGTAAACTTAGTAACATACTTGTAGAAAATTAAATATTTTTAATCATTTGAATTTATTGAAAACTAAAAAAAATTTATACTTTTTTTTTAAAAAACTTTTTCTATTTTGCACAATAATTAATTTGTCAAATATATATATATGTATTGTGAGAAGGGATATAAATTCTAACTAATAAGACGCTTATGGAATGAAAGTGCAAAAAACATACGCATTTTATAAATTTGAATTAAATATTTTAATTAAAGAAAATTTATGATTTTTAAACAAAAACCAAATTAAAAGAATTTTTTTTATTGTGTTCAGAAGGTCCCGTGGGCCGCAGGTTCTACACCCCTACTTTATGTAATTATTATCGTAGTGACACTCTGTTTTGGTTATTTAAATGTTATTCCCATTCATTTATCCAGGTCCCATCCTGTTTACTTATACAAATGCCTAGATTTGGAAAACAATTTAAAATGTATCCTAGAATCATTCCAAGCCAGTATCTGGATATCACAGATGTTCTGGATGACTGTAAGTATCATCATAGTTTATTCATTGTTCATCCCCCCCCCCGTTTTCAAATAATTTGGAAATATATATTTTGTTTAGCAGTTTTTTAATACAGTCATTCCTTTTTAATTGCATATTCGATAATCAAATAACCCGCATATACGCTATATTATCAAAACCAACAGAAATATTTTTTATAGTTTATGTCAAGTGACTTTATTTATGTTTAAACCATTAGGAAACATTCATAATTTATTATTATAAAACATAATGTATGGCTTTATTATAAAAGTTTTATGGAAACATGTTGCTGCAAGAAATTAAAGCAGGTATTAAATTTTTTTTATTGTTGAAAACATTTCTTGGTGAATATTTTCAGCCATAACTCACTTAGAAGAAACATAATTACAGTCTTAAAAAAGATATTGTAAAATGTATAGAACTTTTTGGAAAAGGATTAATATGAATCATACATAAATTTCAGCTCCTCGCCAATGTAGTATATGTGGTCAAGTGGCAGAATTTGAATGCAAAGAATGCTACGGTCAATTTGGTGAAGGTTTGGACAGCATTGCCTTTTGCCAAAAGTGCATGGACAAGGTAAGTTACTTAGTCTTATGTTTAAAAAAATTTATAAAACTAAAAAAACAGCTTTTTGTAAGGCAGGGGCCATGGAGGTTAAGGTTCTATAATTTCATGACCTAAGGCATGATTGTTGTAATGCAGCACTTAACACAGCAGTTACAAGAAATAAGGGTTTGTGGCTTAAAAACTTAGATTTCTTGGAAAATTCCAACATCATTTATGAATGAAATGAAAAAAATATTCAAAATTACTCCTACAAACTATGTGTCAAAAATATCCGCCTAAAAATAAGTTATAATCGGACCTCTATTTAACGAAGTCGCTAAATCCCGATAAAAAGTTCGTTAAATAGAATATCACTATTTGAAATACATAAACAACACAAAACAGGTTGTAAATTCATTAACACAAGACATAATTGAAATAGCAATCGATACACCTTTATCTTGTAAATTATTATCTATGATGGAATTGTTTCCAATGATTTTAACATTTTATCATATGAAGGTTTGGTGATTTTGCCTTCCTCACAATTTATTGCTGTATTGTTTTTATTTTTCGCATAGTCCAAAATATCCGATTTAGTTAATATTTCTGTGGTTGCAGCTTCACAATCAACAAAAAGAAAATCATTAATCAGTACATCATCATTAATTTCGTGATTCTCTCTTAGCTGTACCCACATTTTTTAAAGTTCTTTTAAAGGAATGTCATCTTCGTCCTGCGCACCTTCCAAATTCTCCGCGCTGACTAAAAATCCAGCTTTAGCAAAAGTGTCACGATCTGTAACATCCATAGTTCCATGCTTTAGAAATTTCTGTTATGCTATCTAGTGAATTGATTTTTGGCATGGATTCCTGTATGAACTGCAAACAAAAGGGATTTTACCGCTTTCTCTCAAAGTTACGTGGCTGCGAAAATCAATTGAAGGTCATTCCCCTCATAAAATGCGTTAACAAGTTTGAAATTTACTGAAATATATTGGGAAATAAGGTAAGTAGATCTTAAAGAAAAGTTCTTTGAGTAGAAAACTCACTTCGCTATTTGGAAGTTATTTTATGAATAAATTTCCAAAATATTCTTGGTTCCTCGAAAAAATTTGCAAAATGGAAGTTCGTTAAATAGAAGTCCGACTGTACTTATATTTTAGTCTGTTTAGTCCAATCGACTGGTTATAAATGTGCCACTCTTATTGTGCAAATTTTGACTTGATGTATGACTAAAAAGATTTTGTAATCTAATCCACCACGCAAAATAATTCCAGTCTCCCTCAAATTAAACCGCTTGTTGTAAACAGGGTCCGACTTAGCTTAATTAGGGCCCGGGGCAAAAACTTATTTGAGGGCCCCCTCTGCTTCACCACTTCAGTAATGAAGACTGATTTTTATGGAGGTAATTAAATCTCTCACCTCATTATAGATAATAAGAAAATTGACTAGAACCTAAAATAGCTGTTAAGTCCCTCCCTCCCCCTCCAATGGTCAGACGAAATATCGTTCTGTCCATTTTATTGATTTTCTGATAATTCCAGTTTTCTGATTGTTAACTTGGTCATGTAGCTGAGAAAAATTCATATCCTTGCTGACATTAATTGAACGTTAATCAGTTAAATTTACTCTATTACGATGGCTCAATTAAACCAATCAGAAGCCCGTATTTTTGTAAACATACTGCATTTTGCGATATGTTAAAATGCAGGCTTTTGAGTGGCTAAATTTGTCCATCGTCATTGCGAAAATTTAGCTTAATCCCGAACTAGAAAGCCGTGGATTTACGAAATATCGATTGTGTTCATACGATAGATTAATGAAGAAGCTAACATAAAGCTGACGGATTTTACACTGTACTGATATTTTGTTTAAAAAAAGTTCCTTAAAACAGGAAATGTAAAATTAACGTTCTGTTCGATTTGGAGGCCCTCTCTGGGCAGCCGCCTGTGTGCCCCTGGTTGTAAATGTACTTTTTATTTATTTCATGTGATTGTAAAGTTTTGCTTTGACGATTATGCAGTAAATTTGGCTGGAAAAATTTCAATCAAAATGAATCTAAAAGTTATGCCTCCTTAACCCTCTGTGAGCACTAGTTGCACCCCGAGATGTATGTGGACATTCTGGACAATGATGCACTCCCAACTCTATGGCAATATTTCGGCCCATTTCTCTTCCAGCAAGATAACTGCCCTAATCACACATCGAGGCTTGCACAGACGTGGTTTGGCGAAATGGGTGTTCAAAATCTGAACTGGCCTTCTCAGAGTCTTGATTTAAATCCCATTGAACAACACCTTTGGGACGAATTAGAGAGCAGATTACATAGCCTTCCTCGATGCAAGCACTCACTTCAGCTGTGATGGAAGTCAATACCAATCAAAAACTGGTGTAAAGTCTTCCCAGAAGGCTGTCATCGATGCAAAAGGGGTGACCATTATCATATTAATATGTGCCTCAGGTAGCTCTAAGTCGATACAACTGGGGGTCCCGATAGTTCATTATTTAGGGTACCCTTATAGATTGTAAATTTAAAACGTATGTTCAAAAATAAAAGTTAACAGCACTTTCAATAATAGTGTGGTTTTTTTATGAGCACACTTAAATGTTTTTTTTCTTTTCTTTGCAGAGCCACAGCCACAAGAAGAGAGCTCGCCACCGCAGTGTAAAACTAAGTATTCCTTCCGAGTTCAAAATGCTCAAAGATCACACTCCCGTTCCCAGAATATATATGGAGCTCTTTGCCGTGGTATGCATTGAAACTAGCCATTACGTCTGCTTTGTGAAATGCGGAAGCGGACCCGATGCCCCTTGGTGCTTCTTTGACAGCATGGCAGATCGCAAAGGTCAGTTCTTTTTTTTTTTAAATCTAGAGTGTAAAACAATCGTATCTTGTACACCCCGTGTCAGAATCGTGGCGACATTGTCGCAGAACATTGCAGAGTTCCTGCAGAAAGATTTTCTATTTGGGAAGCAAAGAAGTTAGGGTTTTTTTTATCTGCAGAATTTTTCAAATGTTTTTCCTCCTTTCTGCAGAATTGTATTCAAAAAATGTTCTCGCATATCGGAGAAGTAAAAAAACGCTCGTGATTCCCCCCCCCCCTACTTTCTTTTGAGAATAAAAAAATTCTGCAATGATTGGTTTCAGCTAGAATTTACAAAAGATTAACTATAAAAATATTTTTTAGAACAGGAGAATATCGCTTATAATATTAGAATATGTATTCTTTTATATTTAAATATTAAAAAAAAATCTTACATTTATAGTTGAAAAATATATTTAGGGGAGAGTGGGGTCAATTGTAACTGGGTACGATTGTAACAGAGCAAAANTTAAATTAGTAACATATATATTTGTTACAATTAAAAATGTCTCTCAGAAAGTTATTAGTACCAGAGAGAATTGTCACAGAAAATTCGAAAGAGCATTTTTGGTTATGATTTCACTGTAGGCAATAAAGATGCTTCTGTTCATTGTGCTGTTATCTAGTGTAAATTCTAGAAACAATACCAAGGAGAAGTTAGATATAAGAATATCGTTATAATGTAGCACCTATCTCTCTATAGCCCCAAATCTTTTACTTGAGCTTACATTCTATTGAACGTTTCTTCNTAGAATATTATATTGTAACAAAGTAATTTTATTTAAACAAATAAAAATTATTAACCGAATATGTAAGTGAACACCTTAATTTACATTTCACTAGGGGAATTTACATTTCACATTCACTTACATTTCATTACATTTCACGGGGCACTTAATTCACATAACACTTTACTTACATTTCAATAAAAAAAAATTAGTTTTGTTAATTAACTAGCATTGTTTTTAACAAATGAAGCTGAANAATTGTCACAGAAAATTCGAAAGAGCATTTTTGGTTATGATTTCACTGTCAGCAATAAAGATGCTTCTGTTCATTGTGCTGTTATCTAGTGTAAATTCTAGAAACAATACCAAGGAGAAGTTAGATATAAGAATATCATTATAATGTAGCACCTATCTCTCTATAGCCCCAAATCTTTTACTTGAGCTTACATTCTATTGAACGTTTCTTCAAAATAGCGTTGCAGCATATCTTAGCGCTAAAAAACAAACATTTTTGAATTCGCAGAAACTTAAAAAGAATTAGATATTAAACAAAATACACACTTTGAAATTTTTTATATGAACTAGTAAAATGAAATTTTATATATTCTCATAGCTGCCAACATAGATAAGTAAAAATCCAGTAGGTTTTACGAAATACTACAAATTTCATGATAATTGTTGCAAAATGTACTAAATATTTTACTCATAGGGAATTTTAGGGATTTTTATAATCATTAAAATAGAAATACTGCACTATTTTCCAGTTATGATTAAAATTAAATGAACTTGAAATGTTATGTATTATGTTTACTCATAATTTTGTAAAGTAATAGGCATTTAATTCAGCATAGATAGTTAAAAAGATTTTTTTAATTAATTTAAAAAGGAAGTTCTACATAAATCCAAAATATTAGAACAAAAGAATTTTTTAAACTGATTTTTATAAATGAGACCCACTTATGTATTAGAAACATGTATTTAAGTATTCAAGCAAGCAAGAATCTGTGCAAAAATTCTATTTCAATACGGATTTTTTTAGGAAACTTACTTTTAGGGAATTTTCAAAAATGTTTAAATGCCAGGAGAATTTTTATTAAACCAATAGAAAATGGCAAAATCCAGTAGAGTTGGCAACCATGTATTCTTCTCATATATTTGCACTCTTTAAACATATTTTAACAAGAGAAGATTTTAACAGTTGCCAGAAATTAATTTTATTTTCATAATTGTTAGATAAAATATACTAAAAGAATTTTTCAAGATAAGATTTTCAATTATAAAAAGAAAAAAAAAGGAGTGTTTTGTAAAATGATTATTGGTGACAGATTTTTTCATGCACTGCAACTTACATGGGTGACTTCTTAAACTACTTTCGTTTAACTAGTCGTTTTCATTTGCTGATAAATCATGCATAGATACGACATGCTGTCATTTCTTTTCTTTAGAACAAAAATACTTAAATGTGAGTTAAAGCTTGATTATTATTAATTTATTTTTCTTTCAATTACCCATTTTTTCATGGAAATTTATTTTTCTGGAACTTCTGTCTTTTATTATATCCATTCCTATTAACTTGGCTTATTAGTCAGTCAAAAATATCCCAAAATGGTCTGTTTTTGCTTTAATTCATGTTCATAAGACTCTTATTTTAGTTGAAAGAAATTTTTATGATATTGTTCTTTGCATATCAAACAATAGTTATCACAAAAAAAATGTAATAGCATTTTCTATTTTAGATCAATGTGAGCCATCTGTAATCAAATTGTAATATTATGTTTAACAACTCAAACAAAATTCCTTGAATCAAACTCATGCCTAATATTTTTTTGTCTTTTTTTTGGAGCAAAAATAGCAGCTATATATATTTTTTTAATGTATAACATTTCTTATATAAGCTGAAAGCAATTTTACAGCTTTCATCAGTGTCCAACATTTCTAAATTCAACAAAGTTTTAAATTAATTGAAATACTTGCTTTTAAAAAGTCTATGTGCAAGTAAAATACAATTAAGTATATTTTTGCATTCTTTAAACATAATATTTTTACAAAGTAAAAAATTTGTTAAAAATTCATTTTTTTAAAAAGATATTAACGTTTGTTTTTCCTATTACGTGTTAGACATCATTTTAGTGCATTTGAAGCCTTATAATGTATAAAAATATCAGGTTTAAAGAAAAACTTTTAATTTTCTTTAAACACCACAAAGACTTGGTGAAATTACTAAAAACAAAATGTATTCATAAATATTTTCAAAATGTCATTATATATTCTTTAACTATTTCTAACATGTGGATTATATGAAATCCTAAAAGGCAGATAATAATAGAAAATTCAAATGAGTTTTTGTTTCCTGATGTCACATTTTCTAAAATGAATCTAAACAGGAAAAAAAAATATGTTGTATTAATATTTCCTGAAATCATTATTTGCATCACACATTTATCTTTAAACTTGAAATTTACACTGGTAGACAAAATTAAGAGATGGAAGACATTTTCCCAAATATCTCAAAAAATACTGAATATAAATAAATGAAATTTGGTATGGATATAGCTTATTCCATGATAATAAAGTATGCAAAACAAAAATGAAAGTGCCATTCACTGGCAAGACCTATTGCCAATAAATCCAATGTAGTCTGAACTTAAGGATANCATGAGCGTATTCAGAGCAAGGCCCTTCAAAAACTGTTTCTAAGAATTTTACAGAATTGGTACACAGTAATTTTTTTAATATCTTGGAAATGAATGCTTGCAGGTGAGCAAAACGGCTACAACATTCCAGAAGTGGTCCCCTTTGCTGACTTGAGGTGGTGGCTCTCTGAGGAAGGAATGAACTTTCTGGTGTCCGCAAAGGAAGACAAGGTGCTACCCGAGATCACCAGGAGGCTGCTATGTGATGCCTACATGTGCATGTACCAGAGTCCAGATATTATGATGTATCGTTGAAGAATCTCTCATGTGTTTATTTTATTATTAAAGTGTTAATTCGTTTTGTTAATTCTCTTTTGCCTTACATTGACATCTTTTTTTTAAAAAAATCAGATTTACTTCTTAATAAGTCAAACACAACATTAGCATAAAGCAGTAACACAAGTAATATAAAAAAATTTTTTAAGACAATTCCTACTTAGGTCAACAATCATCATCAGCAATGTTATCATCTATCTATACGCTTCGTATTTATTCCTAAATTTATATCCTGCTAAATATCTTATACAGTCAAACCCCCGCTATAGTGAACCTTCAATTGACCGAAATTTCTGTTCACTATATCCGTTACGCGGGCAATTTAACTAATGGTTCCCAAACTCCTCCCTTTTATTAATCATTATTCAAATAAATGACTGAAAAATATTATATAGTAACAAAAAATGTGTTATTTTTTATTACTCTTCGTCTTGTGCACAAAATAAAATTAGTAATTCTTAGCTGATCAGCAATCCGCAACATCAGATATGGAAACACTTCCCGACTCTCAAATTACTTTTCCTGCATTTCTGTTATTCCACTTTTTAAACTGTCGAACCTGCCATTCGAGCACATTAAAGTAGTCTCACAAAATCGCTTAGCAAATTCATCGACAAATGTCCATATACTGGAAGATTGCGGCTTCTTCGAATTCTGAACCACTTCAGTTATGCTTCTTCAACATCCTTGTGATCTCTGCTTTTCTCAACTTTTTTCTGCCATCTAAATGTTTTTTTTTCATGAGAAGAAATTGTTAATTGCCTATTTTTCCACATGTTACAAACTGTAGATTTGGATAGTTTATATCCCCTGCAAATAACAGCTTGATTACATCCATTTTCAATTTATTTGATTATGCCCATTTTATCATAAATGGAGAACGTTTTACGTTTAATGCTCTCCATAGTTAAATTTGAGACACTTGTTTGCAGGCTTTTTTTTAACTAAACTGAGAGCAAAAAGGAGATGAGATGAGGGCCTTATCAACACAGATTAGCTCCCAACCCTTTGACCAATAATGAATAATTACTCATTCCCTCTGACAGAAAATGTATATTGATCCCACTGACACCTTACAGGTGCATCATTTGTCAGGGTTGAAAACATCTGCTTGGTTTGTTTAGGGATGGGAAAGTGAGATAAAAGCAAACAATAAAAAATGCTTATCGCTACATTCTATACTATACCGCTCCAGGGTTCATACAGAGATCAGAAGAAGAAATCCAAGGAGTTCAAAATTTTAAGGACTGATCAAAAATTAAAAAACTTTGTGTAAAAGATAACTAGACAGTTTTTTTAAATTAAAAAGCAATTATTATAAGGAACTCGCAAAAATGTATAGCTCACATATTTTTTTCTAGCCCTTTTGAAATAAATTTTGACTCTGTCAAACTTCATCAAGAAAAATAAATAAAGTTATCACTTTTACACATAAATACATTTTCCAGTTTCAAATATTTTAATAAATCTTGTTAAAGTACAGATGTTAAAGATTAACATAAAAACCTACCAATCTTATATTTTTAAATTTGAATACATAAGAAAATCTAAGGAATTTTATGCAACAAAAAAAAAAAAAAAAATCACAGTAAATTATTAGTTAAGTTTGCTTGTAAAATTAAAATTATTTGCTGTTATTTTTTTCTTCTAACTCTTGCAATTTAATTTTTTTTTCTTTTAAAGTTTTTCTTAAACAATTAGATTTTGACAGCTAAGTCATATCAGTTAGTTTCCCTAATTCATCAGCATACTTAGTAAGTTCATCTATGCAACACAATCATCTAAGGAGTTTCTAAGGACTAATTTAGAAATCTAAGTAGCTCCAAGTACTCTTTGGAGACTTTTTTTTATTTCCAAGGAGTGTATGCACCCGCTCTACATTCTATACATACTATAGCTGGTTTTAAAAATCAGCATATGTATTTATTTTGAAGTAGAAATTTCAAAATTATTACAAAAAAATCAGTCGAAGGCAGAAAAAAGTTCATTATATCCAACTTCCTCACTTTTTTGGTTCACTATATCCACATAAAATAACATTATACGTGTATAGCAAGGCACGGGACCGAACATTTCCAGGGGTCTGTCCAGACATTTTGTGAAAAGTCCGTTTTTGTAAAATTGTGAAAAAATTAATCGTAATTTGTGTATATAAAATAAACGTTAAGTCACATTCATTCAACCAGGGTCCCGCTTTTGTGAATTTGTGCAAATAGGGTCCTGTTATAGCAAAAAACTATTTCAAGGAGTTTTTAAATTGTAAATAGATACAAGATTATATTCAACACTGTAAAATTATAATTTAAAAAAATAAACAGCAATTGCTGCTTCTAAATTAGAGATGCAACAGACAAATAATTGATATTTAGCCTATACCGCTAAACGCAGAATATTAATTTCGGACGGGAAGAACCGTCTGCGGAAGATAAATCTTAGTTCGTTTACATCCATCTTTCTTGTTTTTTGCCCTGGGAAGGTTTTATTCAATTAACAAAACAAAGAAGATAAACAAATTTGTGAAGGGCCCGATTAAAAGAAAAATCATATTGTGAAGGGTCCGTTTTTAAGTTAAAATATTTTGTGAAGGGCCCGTTTTTATGAAAAGATATTTTGTGAAGGGTCCGTTAATGCAGTGTTCCCCAACCCTCTGTCCGGCAACAGTTCGTGGATTAAATAGTACCGGGCCGCCCATGTCATTGAAACCGAATTTAAAATCTTAGGTTTAAACCCTAAATTAAAAATATCTGTTCCATTAAAATTTTATTTATTTAAAGAAAGGGGGCCCCGAAGGTAGTGACAAATTTTTTAATGTTTGTAATGCATCATTGTCTCCGATTACCCCCAAACGGAACCGTCTCATTGCAAAGAAACAAGCTCAGGGTTCTCATTGATTTAACGTTCAAGTAAGTTGAAAAAAATGTTAAATCACTTTATATTTATTATTTGGTTTAACTGTATTTTATTTTGAAGGCATGTTTAAATACAATTAAATTAAAATTAATAAATCAAAATACTAATATAAAATATGAACAATTAACGTCCCCCTCCCCCAGTGAGCCGCAGTAAAATTATCAAACGTTGACAGGTCTGAGGTAATAAAAAGGATGGGGACCACTGCGTTAACGGACTCAAAATTTCTTCTAAACAGACCCTTGATTTCGTTCACTATATCCGGGAGTGCACTATAAACTGTGTTCACTATAGGAGGGGTTGACTGTATAAGAGAAATTGTTTTTCTCCCATATAAAACTAAATTTAATTAATTAAATTTAATGAATATTTGAAAAGAAACTGTTTTAACATCAAGTGTCCCCCACTACAAGTTTAAAAAAAATGCATTTGAACTTGAATAAGTTTCAATTTTATTAACGATTGAAAATTTCAACAAAGAGTGTGAACTAATAGTAGGAATTGAAAAAAAAAAGTGCGTGGTACCAGATAACTATAAAAGTTTAAATTTGCTGACGTGGACTACACATGCTACTACGTAATATTCTTTATTGAATTTATTTGACACAGCAGATATAAAATAATTAAATGTGCACAATAAACTATTTTTTTGTTTGTTTAAATAGTTAGAAATTATCACTGATGTTATTTTTAAAATAGGTTAAAAATTGAATCGCTTATAGTAAAATTGAAAACAATGACTAACGCTTAACCTATCAGGAAATTTGATTTAGTCTTTCGATCATCGTCATCAGCACAGATAACACAGCCGGAAATCATCCCCAAAAGGAAACTTTAGTTTCTTAATAAACTTTTTAATGAATTTTGAGTTGTGTGAACTTAACGAATATCTCCATATTATGTGGAGTGGCAAGCCTGAAATATGATACAGTGAACTCTTGCTACTACGATATCCAACACAACAACTCCCTTTATTACGATATTGTTTCGTGGTCCCGACCAACTTGCATATGAATTTATGTCGTGCTCATCTCAATACACAGTGGACCAGCATCCAAGGTTTCGTGGCCAAAATTAGTATTTCGATAAAATTTGTTGCAAAATTTGGTGGTTTTTATGTGCAGGTAAATTGAATTCATAGTTGAAATACACTAAAAATACCAAGAAAAAAAAATAATATGGCAACTGAAATATGGCGAGCAAAAATAAAAAACAATTGTATTGTACGTTTAAATAATTAAATAAAGCAATAAAAATATAATAATTTTCGTAATTTATATTAAAAATGAAAAGCAAATTATATTTCCGAAAAAATATTACAAAATAATGGGAATTAATTACAAAATAATGCTAAAACATGAAGAAAAAAAAACATAATTTTTGTTTTTCAGTATATTTAGTTCACCTTTGCAATATGGGCAGGTTTTCTCGAAAGAAGAAAAATCCAAGAAGACAACAAAAAAAAGTTTAGCTAATTACCTAGTGGAACTAAGTTTCGAAAGTCATTCAAACATTGTAAAATGTCAAATGATAAGATATAAACTATAAGTTTGTGAAAAGTATTAACTAATCCAACAAATTGAAAAATTGTACTATAATTTCACACATAACTCTGTGAAAATTACTCTGATAAAAATGTAACAGTAAGGTGAAATTCCTATATACATTTCTGAAATATAAATTTAAAAAAAATTTTTAAACATATTTTTCACTACATTGTACTCTTGTCGGTCCAAAAAGTAAATTATAATGTTTAGAATGATTATGAATACTTAATTTGGGCTATNTTCCCCCCCCCCCAAAAAAAAATTTGCTAACTTCCCCCTTCCATGTTAGCTTGTTCGAAATAGTGCTACTTTGCTTGCTCATAATATGACAATGCTTCTTTTATTTATGTACTTAAAAAAAAAATCTCTCATCTAAATTCCCCCCCCCAAACTATTCGTTTTATTTACTGTAAAAATTCCCCCCTAATGGGGGCCCCTGTGCATATGAATTTATGTCGTGCTCCTCTCAATACACAGCGGGCCAGCATCCAAGGTTTCGTGGCCCAAATTAGTATTTCGATAAAATTTGTTTCAAAATTTGAGGGTTTTTATGTGCAGGTAAATTGAATTCATAGTTGAAATACACTAAAAATACAAAAAAAGAAGAAAAAAATTATAAGATATAAACTATAAGTTTGTGAAGAGTATTAACTAATCCAACAAATTGAAAAATTGTACTATAATTTCAGGCTAATTACTCTGATAAAAATGTAACAGTAAGGTGAAATTCCTATACTATACATTTCTGAAATATAAATTTAAAAGTTACATTAAAAAAAAAAACCTGTAAACATATTTTTCACTACATTGTACTCTTGTCGGTCCAAAAAGTAATTATAATGTTTGGAATGATTATGAATACTTAATTTGGGCTATATTAAAACTGCCTACACATATTTAATTTTGACTTTTGGCCAAAGATCATGATCTTCTGGCCCACAGTGCAATATTATGATATTCTCTGAAGCAATAAACCCCTGTAAAACAATTTTTTTAAACCAAATTTCAACCTTATTTTCTCCATTTATTATTAGTTTTTAAATAATGTAAAAAAAAAAATCTTATTTTACCATCTTTTGCTGTTTTTCCATCTTTTCACTGCTGACCACTCCAAACACTTTCATCTTAAGATGTAACATTTCTATCTGATTTCATTTCCTTTACGTTAAAAGCTGATCATGAGTCACAAATGACCAGAAGCATCACATTAACACATAAAAGGGAATTTTTTCCTTGGAGGGTAGGTAGAGCACCATTCACAAACGAAAATCATTTTCGTGCTGTGGACTCAATGCATACTTTGATGGTTGACATGACAGTCGAAAAAAAAATGAATGAACAATATCAACACAAATATCAGATTATTTTCAATAAAAATGGTTTTCAGGTAATTTCACGCTCTTATTTTCTGAATTAATTTCAATTCTTTTTAATATTTAACCATAATTAACACTATTCAAATTAATTTTTTTGCATAATATATAAATACATTTATAGTGGATCCCTTCTCACGTTGGGGTTCTGGGCAATGACATCGCCGACACTCTGGCTAAGGAGGGGATGAAAGAAAATCTGATAAGTCCAAATTTCCTCACCTTCATGGAGCTGGCATCAAAAAAGAAAAAAGAAGACCTCGCTTCCTGGCTCGTACCCTCCAAACATCACTGGTACCAGAGCACCAGCCCAGGAGGTGCACTCAACATTCGGTGCAACCGCAAGGACCAGACTGCACTTACCAGGCTTATCAGCGGCCACCTTAAGTCCCTTTCTTTTGAGGGTAGTATTAAAATCTACCCTAACTGCCCCAGGTGCCACAACATACAGGCTTCCCCCCAACATATCCTGGACTGTCTTGGTCTGGACAAAAGGGACATTCTTAATAACACACTTATGGTGGTCGACTTCCTCCGGGTGATGAATTTCATGGACATTGTTAAGCCCTGCTAATTTTGGGGATAAGGAAGAAGAAGAAGACATTTATAGTTAATACATATACAACATTAAAATTAAAAAAAAAATCTTATTGTGTTCCCAAGGTATGTTGGCCCTCGATATAACAATATATCCCTCTACAACATATCGATATATATTGGGTCTCCAAAATATTCTTTTAGCGAGGTTTTACTGTATAAATTATTTCCCAATACAATTTTTTTTTGAAATAATATTTATTTAAATGTTTATGTGCATGACATATAATTCAAATAATGTCATTTTAAAAGTATATCAATAGCATACACACAGGAGGTCCGGAATTTTTACTCAATTTAAAAAATGATCAAACTTTTATGCAAATGTTAAAATAGCTTACAGAGGGGGTTTAAAATGCAGTGAATTCCTTGGACACACCATCAAATACATATACTTCTAATGTTAATAATCTATATATATATATATATACATTTCTCATAAATAATAATTTTTATACTTTGTTCTCTCCTGTTACAGAAATGAAATCAGCAATTCTAAACATTTTAGAATGCAGAGTATGAACTAGAACACATAATCTTCATGAATAAAACAACAACTAGAGACATATTTGGACAAAATGCTATCTACAAGATTGATTCGAGGTGGGGTGTTAAAAAGTAAATAATTAAATCCAAATGAAAAAGATTTCTTTAAAAATAATTCTCTTTCTAAAATGAAAATGGAATTTTTCAAACATTTTTGTGAAGTTTTGAGAACATTTTAATTAAAAAATTATTTTAACAATAAGTTTAAGAGTAAAACATTTATATGCACTACTATAATAGTATGAATGAAATGGTTGTGTGAAATCTAATGCCAAGTTGTGCGTGTTTAGAAAAAAAAAAAAAGACTTACTTTATGAGAGTGTTACTTTAGAGGTGTTCTAAAACTTCACTAGTAACATTACTGTTATATTGGCAGGAATATTTTTCAAATTAATGAATTTTTTTAAAAAAAAAATAATAAAAACGGAGAAGAGAAGAATCAAAATTTCTTTAGAATTCCATTTTTTAAATGAATTAAATAGGCATTTTTCACCAAAAATGCCACATTAAAGAGGCAAACAATGTAACACTTCTATCGGGCACTTGTAGAAGTGTTCTGCGATCAATACCAAAAGTGAAATAACCTGACGATTAAATAGAGATAAAGAGTAAATTCTGCAAACACAAGACAATATATGATAAAAAAAATTTAACACAAAAAAAGATTTCTACATAATACTACACATTGAGAAAATTACTCAAAAACATAAAGCTGGGTAAAAAAAAAAAAGCCAAGAAAATATTATTTACTGAAGCTTTGATAGTTTTAAACAAAAAAATTTCTTCCAAAAACAAAAAACAATTAAGACATATTTAATTGCACAATTTTTTTAAAAATTTAATTAGAAAATTATTCTTTAAAATTAAAGTAAACAATTGTTGAAAGAGGTTTCTAACACAACATATTAAAAAAATGATATCTCCTGACATAAATAATCATGTTATGATACAATTGTTAATGTAATTGTTAAACAATTGTTGTAATTAATAAACAGCTCAGAAAATTAGCTTGAGATTCAAGAATGCATCAAATTTTTGGGGTAATTATGGTATTTAACAATAATAATAGCTTCATTTTTAAATACACAGTAAAGTAACATTTGCCAAAAATTTATAAACAATAGTATTTATACAGACCATGAGTATTAAATTCAGTTTTTTTAAGGGGTCACAGTACCAAAATATCGATATTTTTTTATTGCTTAACTTCAAACTATTTCAAATGCACTGAAAAAAGAAATCATCTCTTTAACTACATTTTAAAAAAAGTTATGAATGATTTTAGATTGCCCTAAAACAGAAACTTGATCCGCAGACAGACTTCAAAGTGCTTTTTCTCATAGAAGATAATTCTGTGTTTTAATCTTAATTAAATCCCTAAGGAATTTTTTCTATTTCAGATAAAGCTTCGTAGTTAACTTTTTTTTATCTAAAGTATACTACACTTATTTAAACTGTGCATGGAATAAGCATTTTATGAGAGATTGCAATTTTTACAGCATGTTATATATACCTAACAGGAATTTTTAACCTTTTTTTTCCTACTATTTTAACAATCTATAAAAAATGTTATAATTGATATATCAACAAATGACAGCATAAAATTGTTAAGATAAATATTGTAAGCACTAAGAATTTTTTTTTTTTTTAAAAATATGTTAAAACAAAAAAAGCCTTAAAAATTTAAAATTTTTTTAAATTTTTTTAAAAATTTGAAAAAAAAATTAAACAGTTTAATTATTTTTTGAAGATAAATTATTGATTATAAGTTAAATGAGTATGCAAAACATCCACAAAACAAATTAGTATACCTTTATTTAAAAAAAAATGTTGCAAAGGTACTGTAACCCCTTAAACAAAAACAAAAAAATAATACATGTTTTAATGCAATACATATGATCCAAGTGCTAAAAAAATATTGATAAGATAAAAAAAATAATTGTTCACAATAGATGTAATTTAAAAATGTAGAATGGTCAGTAAGAAGAAATAAATCCTCCTTTGTAAGTGATCAGGCATCCTTGAGGGATATAACACATAATTATCTTTTTGTTCTTGCTCTATAAGGATAGCAATTTATAATAAAAATACAGTTAAGTGATGTTGAATATATTCACTAAGTTGGCATTCCAAACAAAGTTCTACCGGGATTAAAAACAAAATACTGCTGGTTTAAAACACAATCAAAATATGTAACCTTCAATCTAATGAATGGACAGTAACTTGGCAAATGTCATGTTCAGAGTATTCTTCTTCTGAAAATTAACAAAACAATGTTTTCTATAATATTTCATTCATTAAATACATAAATAATTAGAAATTCGCAAAATCACTTCCTCACTTTTTGATTATTAATGTAGTACGGTCGGATCTCTATTTAACGAAGTCACTAAATCCCGATAAATAAGTTTGTTGTACAAAAAATTCGTTAAATAGAAAATCACCTTTTGAAACACTTAAACAACACAAAACAGGTTATAAATTCATGAACACTAAAAGAAATAGAAACAGTAATTGATACACCTTTATCTTGTAAACTCGTATTTACTACTTATTTTATAAATCTTAATCGTAAAAGAAATCTGTTTGGAAATCAAGAAATGAGGAAAACATTATCTCCAGAGTTACACTATCATGCTACATACATTTTCAACTAAAAAAAAGCTAAACTTATGAATAAAATTATAGCTGCACTTATTATAAAAGTAATTTTAAGCATACATTGCGTTCTTAAGTTAAATTGCTACTGATAAAATCCGTTAATTTTGTCTGAGTTTTTAGTTTGAAATGCAAACAAAAAAGGATTTTACTGCTTTCTCTGAAAGTGGCTTCAAATACTAATTCAAGGTCATTTTCCCTGTAAAATGCGTTAACAAGTTTGAAATATTTTGGGATGTAGGGAAAGTGGATCTCAAAGAAAAGTTCGTTAAATTGAAAATTCACTTCACTTTAGGAACTTATTTTACAAAGAAATTTCTAAAATGTTCTTGGTTTGNTAAAAATTAAAAAAAAAAAAAGAGCAAAATAGAGAAATTCGTAAAATCGAAGTTCGTTAAATAGAAGTCCAACTATATATATATATATATATAACAGCTGTTGTGCAATTGAGAAAACAATGCAAGTGCCTTGCGGTATAAATATCGAGAGAAATGGCTTCCAAACTGTTTTATATTTATTGCTGATGCTATGAATACTAAAATAGAATTTCAAAAAACTTATTAACCAAATTTAAATTTTTTAATAAATAAAACTTTTTTCAATAAATAGCTTATCATACAAAGATGCCAAATATACAAAAATCTTAATTTTGACTTCTTTGTTGTTGATGCTGAATTTTCACAGCAGACTAAGAGTTATTTTTTACTATTCCTTGAATCCAATTAACCTTTATGGGTATTAAAAATATACATTACCATAAAATACATATATTATCAAATGAAACATGAAGTCAAGAAAATTATGTTAAACTTTTGTTATTTGGAAACCAGCCTCCAAACAATTACATAAATACCAACTCAATTTTGCAGTAAAAATATTGCAAAGGGTAATGACTAAGATTTAGCAAAAACCTTTTGTGTTCTTTTTACAAAAACTTGAAAACATTGCAGCATGATTAAGTCCTTTGTTGTAATGAAAAAGTCATAAACTCTTCACCAAAAGATTTTCCTTGGGTAAATGAGTTTTATAAATAAGTGGAAGGAGCTTTGAGAAAGAAATAAAGAAATGAAAAAGGTGAAAATAACTTTAGAGAACCATACTTCTGACCAATCACTCAATTAAAATATTTGGAACGTAAATCAGAGTTAACTTGGTGGTGAAAAACCATCAACATGGATAGGAAAAAATCCAGCAGATTTCACGAAATATAAATTTCGTGATAATTGTTGCATAAGTACTAAATATTTTACAGATTGGGAATTTTAGGGATTTTTATAGTCATCAAAATAGAAAAACTGCAATATTTTCGAGTTATGATTGACATTAAACAAACTTGAAATATTATGTATACTCATAATTTCGAATATTAATATGCATTTAATTCATTAACGATAGATAAAAGATTTTTTTCATTAATTTAAAAAGAAAGTTCCAAATAAAAGTAATCTAAACATTTTATCACAAAAAAGTTTTGAACTGATTTCTGTAAATAAGGTTGGCGTCATTATTTATTAGTAATACTTATTTGAATATTCAAATAATAATCTGTACAAAAATTCTATTGCAATAGGGATTTTTTCAGGAAACTTACTCAATTTTATGGAATTTTCTAAAATGTACAAAAACCAGGTGAATTTTAATTAAACCAGTAGACCAGGAGAAACTGGCAAAATCCAGTAGTCTACTGGAAAATCCATCTGAGTTGGCAGCTATGCTGTTTTTAAAAGCACAAGAGTGGTAGGAGAATAAAATGCAAATATAACTATCAACTCAAATTATTAAATAAATAAAGGTATGTAACTATTTTGCACAGAAAGAAAACATTCAAATTATTTGCATACTTATTTGAAATTTTCTTTGCTATATGTGAGCATTGAGAACAAACTGTTAAGGTTTATATATAATTAAAAAGAATAAAATAATAAAGTGAAACAACAAAATAATGCAGAAATATTAAGGATTCTTCTAAAATTAAAGCTGAAAATTCTGCCAAAAGCTATAGGAATCACATGTTTTGCCTTCATGACTTAAATTATCATTTGAATAAATTTAATTAGCGTAATTCAGAAGGGAAGCTTAAATATGGAAGAATGAATTACTACGCCAAAAGTTAATTAAATGTAATATATTTTTTGCTTAAACAAAACTCCATTATTTTATTAATACCATTTTGATACAGCGGGTGACCTTATCTCTCATTTGCATTGATAGGCTTGCTTAACACACTTCTTGCAGAGGGACAATTATGAATGGTTTGGGAAAGAGATTTAGACTGATATCACATCAATTAACTGATGCAAATGTGGTATTACCAAATTTACCAAACTAGCAAACGGAAATCCGAATTACGATAATATAGAAATATATGCAGTCAGCATTTAGAAAATTCCAATTAACACAATAGTGTATATAATACTTAATCCTGGAGAGGTATATAATATTATGCATGAATTTATTATTAAATAAAAAAGCAACACTTAATAAAGGTACTAAATTAAATGTTATACAGGGATGAAACTTTGCAACGCATTATGAGTTTTTTTCACTTTTTAGAAGAATTTCGCATTTTCAAATTCAATAAAAAATCAACCTTTTTAAAGAAAGTTCTACTTTTACGAATTTGTTCCCAAAAAAGATTAGTTTTTAACACTTCTTTCTACATATGTAAATGCAATTCGAAATTAAAATTCACAAGATTTAAAATCATACAATTTAAAATTTAACATCGCAATTCGTATTACCAAGATCTATAATTATACATCGCAATTAATATTCCTACGATTTAAAATTGCATATTGCAATCCGTATTCAAGCAATTTAAAATTATGCATCGTGATTTGTGCTTGCATTATTTAACATTACCTGTTTTATTCACAATTGGTATTCAAGCAATTTAAAAATTTCACATAGGAATTCGCATTCATATAATTTTAAAATCTGACATGGAGATTTGTATTCATGTAATTTAAAATTACACATTGCGATTAATATTCAGGAGATTTAAAAATCTCACAACGGGATTTGCACTAACGCAATTTAGAAAAAAAAAGGAAGAAAGAAAAGAAGAAAATTATATATAATTATATATATATATTCACTAAGTTGACATTCCAAACAAAGTTCTACCGGGATTAAAAACAAAATACTGCTGGTTTAAAACACAATCAAAATATGTAACCTTCAATCTAATGAATGGACAGTAACTTGGCAAATGTCATGTTCAGAGTATTCTTCTTCTGAAAATTAACAAAAAAATGTTTTCTATAATATTTCATTCATTAAATACATAAATAATTACAAATTCGCAAAATCACTTCCTCACTTTTTGNTAATTGATTAAGATGATTAATTATGTAATCAAAATAACTGAATCATGCATTACTCAACTTTAGTACATTACACATAAAAAAAAAATATAACAAAGAACAGCAGACAACTTTTTGTGTACCCAAAATAGATGGAGGTGAGATAGATGTTTACCTCATTCTAATGAATCATCCATTTCCATCATAAGATCTTCAGACAAAGCAGATGACTCAACACAATACGTCATGCTAAAAATAAGAAACATAAAAGAGTCAGAATTATTGCTAATACAGTAAAACCTCGTTGCAACAATATTTTTGGGAACAAATAAATTTTTTGTAGAGGGATATATTGTTATATCGAAGGCCTGCATGTTTTGGGGACACAATTATATATTTTTTTAAATTTTAAGGTTATATTAACTATAATTGTATATATTAATTTGCTGATAGGTTGATTAGAGTTAAATATCAAAAACAATTGAAATAAAATAAGATGGCAAACATAAGAGCTTTTATTGAAAACAATCCAATAATTTTGTTTCCTTATTCATTCTTCTGACTGTTACATCGACCCACAAAGCATCAATTGAGTTCAAAATCGAAAATGATTTTCGTTTGTGATTGGTATTCCACCCACCTTCTACGAAAAAAATTCCCTTTTTGGTTCTAATGTGATGCTTGTGGTCATTTGTGACTCATGATCAGCTTTTAACATTGAGGAAATTAAATCAGATAGGAATGTTACATCTGTGACTTCTTAAGAGATAAGGGAGGCAATTCTAAAAATGGAAGGTCTTGGGGTGATCAGCAGTGAGTCTTTTCTTGTCAGAAAAAAATGGAAAAATGGCAGAAGATGATAAAATAAGATTTTTTACATTATTTGAAAACCAATAATAAATGGAGAAAATAAGGTTGAAATTTGGGAAGAAATTTTTTTTTACAGGGGTTTATTGCTTTAGAGAATATCATAATATTGAGAGGAGAATAACATTAAATCATGTGACAGCTCGTAGGGACCACCAAACATTATCGTAATAGAGGGAGTTATTGTTGTATCGGATATCATAGTAGCGAGAGTTCACTGTATCATTATTTGGAAGCCATATGAAAATAATATAAGTCCCACTAATATTATTTTCAAATAGCATTGAAACGGAATGAAATATTTCATTGGAACTGATCTTTCCCTGTAATATGACTTTCTGTTTATCATTACTAGTTGAATTAGTTAAACATAATCTATGAAACTATTCAGTTGTTGATATTTCATTCGAGGAGGACACCATTCTCAATTTCATTCCTTAATTGTCACCTTTCTATCTCGATCTATTCTACTAGTAAGTCTTTCATTTCTTTTAATGATTATCAACATTTACAACAAGAAATATAAGAAAGTATTAAATACTTAACTGTAATTAAAAATTTATAGTGTGGTATAAGTACCAAATTAAAAATTTTACAAAAAATTAGAAAATAACATTGAATATTATATATGTATTCGTGAAAATGTAAAATAGACATTATTTAATGGGACAAAAAAAAAAGTTTCGCACACTTTAGATAATTTTTTAATAATTTGGTAAATAAAGGGTCAAAAAAAAAAAAAAACAAGCATTCAACTAAATGGTTTGTTCATTGATCTGGTGCCAATATGCCCATTTTATTTCTTAAATAAAATAAAAAAAATTCTACACGAAAAGTTTTGTGTGTCTTAACCGCTTCCCTGATTATTCCAAGGTTGGCAAGTTTCTGCCGAGGTGGTTAAAACCACTGGTAGAAACCAGTTAAAACCGGCATGGCAAGAACCCTTTTCTGCCACATTTGTGGCAGAAGTTCAGAAAATGGTATAAAAGTGCTGAGATTGACATATAATGGATAATTCATAGAAAAAACAATTAAATGTTAAGCAAAGTACAATTTATTTACAAAATTACCACCATTCAAAATCAAATATTACATTGTTTGCCCTCTGCAGTAATACCTGTATATAACAAAAGACAAGTTTTGTTGCAGTTTCTAAAACTAAACAATTTTTCAATTTGCTATGCACGAACGAGAAATTTGAGAAGATTCTCTCAAATCCAGCAGGCATTGCCATCCACAAAAGATTCAAACTCTTACTGTTATGATAGTTGGATTGTTGCGATGCAAATTATGTCTTGAAAAGAAAAAAACTATTTGAAAATAGCTCTATACAGTTATGTTAAGAGTTAAATGATAATTACTGAATTTCAAAATTTAATATAATAAACGAAAATCTAGTATTTATATTTATTATTACATTACTTTATTCTTCATTTAATATAAATATTTGATATACTGCACCTTTATATTTAATTAAACAAAATAATATATATTTACATACAATGAATTAAAAAGGATGTTACAGTTACATGGAGTTAAATTTTTCAGTTTACATAAACAAAATGTCATTAAGCAATTACTAGAACTAATATAGAAGTTTTTTTTAGTTTCCGCCAGTTTTTGCCGGTTTTTACCGGTTATAACCAGTTTCTGCCACTGGCATGGCAAAAACCAGTTTCTGCTGGCAAAAAGTCAACCCTGGATTATTCCGAGTTAACTCCGATATGTATATACTGCAAATATTTACAATCCCCAGTAAATGATGAAATAGCAGAATTCGTCAATACGTTTTTTGTTTTATCACGTTTTTATTCAGACGGAAACAAAACAAAAAATAATAATAATCTGCTGTGATTGAAAGCTTGCCAATATTTGTTTGAGAGTTTTGCTGTTTGTGGGACTGCCGACGTGTTTTGTTCAATTGTATATACGATGGTTGATGAGTTTACATAGAACAAAAAGTAAAAGAATGGCATTCGTTAGCGAAAATGAAAGTAATGTAGATGACTTAGCAGATTAACTTTTTTCAGGTGCCCGAGATAATTCAGGTTAGTAAACTGATGATAAATTAAATATTTTTCACACATAAAAAATTTAAAATTTCAACTTAGAACTTCTATATTATGTTTTGTCTTAGTTCCTTGTATTTAATAATGAAATAATAAAATATGTCGATATTTCACATTTTTTTAAACAAAAAATTAGTAAGGGAAGCAATTAAATAAAATATAATTTTTTGTGTGTCTTAGTGAATGTAATGTAGGCATATTTTAATGAAAACAACACCCCATTTTATAAAATTTATATGTTTAACCTAAAATTGGTTTTAAAAAAAATTACAATTTCAAGAACATATTTATAAATAAAATTTGAAAGGAAATGCATATACTAACCCCATGGCATAACAAGTGAAGAAGACGATTCTCTTCAGACGCTTGTTAAAAAAAAAGTAATTGAAAGACCAGAGGCAACCATCTTCTCCGTAAGGATCACTGTCTAGATCAGGGTTATAACTGAAACATTTATTTTTATGAGTAACTCATACATACATAATATTGTTTAAAAACATTTTCAAAAACAAATGTAGTTTTAAGATTTATTTTCGATCTCTCAATAAAGATCTCACGTGATAAGAACAACAGAAAAAGTTTTTAGAAGGAAATGGAAACTTTCATTGATTAAAATACTCTTAGTCATTCCAACTCAGAAAACTTACTCAATAACTCAGAAACAACAACTTACAACTCAGAAATACTCTTAGTCATTCAACTTGATTCATTTTAAAGTTAACAAAAATAAGCATTATAGATGATGAACACACTGAACATTGTAACTATCCAGTTACTGAATTTTAACTCATGAAGAATAAACTCATAATTGCGACAAGTTGGATAATATTAAAATAAATTATAAAATCATAAACACACTTTTTATACAAAAAGCAAAAAAAAAAAAAAAGAAGGAAAAAAAGCCACATTTTAAAATTTATTGAGGAGACCATTCTTCAGGATAAACACCATGTAGGCAATAATATGTTTCTGCGTTTTAACAAGTAAAAATTCCAGAAATTCATAAAGTTAGTTCTAGCATCTAGAAGAGGGGTTTCCAACTTACATGAGGCCAGGGGCCACAATTAAAAACACAAATCAAATGGCGGGCCGCAACTTTATAAAAATTTTATGTAGGAGTCTTTTATGTTTGAAGGATCATTAAATATTACTGTCAGATTTTTACCAAGTTGTACAAACAAAACAAAAGTATTGAAGTACAAATTAAAATAAGAAGTAGATTTTTAAAAATATTTAATTGCATATTAAAATTAATGAGCATCCATGTATTAAACAATTAATGTGCAACAGATATCTAATTGTTAAGATATAAAACTTTGAAAAGGTTGGTATTAAAACTTACATAGTAGCAAACAAAATCTTCAATGACAAAATTGAGGTTTGTCTGCTGCAATCACCAGAGAATAGATATTTACATTTTAAATTTAAAATTTACAAATGTGTGTATAAATATTTTCTCCCAAAATGAGTGGTTTCGAAAAGTTAAATCGGAGAATTTTTTCGAGAAAATTTCTGATACATACATGGTAAATTATATTCACAAAATACATAAAAATGAAATAAAAAAGAGCAACATACACGATTATTTTTGTATTTGAATAAATATTTTCTTGGATGGAAAACCTGAGAAATTTTTCTTTGCACCGCTAGTATGATAAATTTCACAGAAACGAAGAAATTAGATTTTTATTAGCGAGAAAAGTATTTTAAACCCATATAGATTTTTTATGAAAATTGTCCGCAAAAAATAACAATTAATATATTTTAGTTCGCGGGCCACAAAAAAAAGCTTCACAGGCCGGATCCGGCCCCCGGGCCGCCAGTTGGAAACCACTGATCTAGAAATATGAATTAGTTTGTTGTAAAAATATCACAATGTGTTGGAATGTTGTTTTGTTATTGTTCGTTTAAACTATATTAATTTTATGCTATTCATTTTACTGAAGGAAAAAAGATTTTAATAACTTTAGAAAGCTGTCAAATTTTTATTCTTCCTGAGTTAAAAGAAGATTGCAGTCATATCTTACAATTGTAATTGATTAAGATGATTGATTAAATGCTACTATTACTGTTAAAAATACAATTACATGATACACTTTCACGCATGAAACATCTATGTATTTTAAACTATATATAAATATATTAAATGAAATAGCTGGCTTTGTCTTAATTAAAACTAATATGGACTTCAAATATACAGAGTTTTAAAGATCACATGAGTTAATATACAATCATAATTAGACAATTTATAACTTATTAATATTGATTGGTAATGAACTTTATTTATTGGTAATGAACTTTAGATTTTTATTACAAATTGTTTTTCCTTTAATAAATATTTAAAAATTACTAGCAAAAAATAGTTTCTTTTTAATATACACAATAAGCACATAAGGGCTGAGTTGCCAACATAGATAGGAAAAAATCCTGTAGATTTTATGAAATATAAATTTCATGATGATTGCTGCATAATGTAGTAAATATTTTACACATAGGGAATTTTAGAGATTTTTTTAGACATCAAAATAGAAAAACAGCAATATTTTCCAGTTACAATAGACATTAAAATGCTTGAAATGTTACATATTATGTTTACTTATAATTTCGAATATTAATAGGCATTTAATTCTTCAAAGGAAGTTAGAAGATTTTTTTTAAAAAATTTATTTAAAAATAGAGTTTTGAATTAAAATAAACTGGACACTTTAGAACAAAAAAAGTTTCAAACTGATTTTTATAAATGAGGTTCGTGTATGTATTATGTATTGGTAATACTTATTTAAATATTTTAGCAAGCAAGCAATAATCTGTACAAAAAATCTATTCCAATGGAGATTTTTTTTGGAAACTTACTCAATTTTAGAGAATTTTCTAAAATGTACAAAAACCAGGAGAATTTTAATTCAACCAGTTGACCAGGAGAAACTGGCAAAATCCAGTAGAGGTTTATTTAGAGCTATAAGTGTTTAAACTATTTAAAAAATTAATGGGCTTTGTAAAAAGCCCCATTACCGAAATATAAAATCTCAATATCCGAAATATCTTACGGAAATATAAAATATTAATTGATAGTTAGGCTTACTAGTATCCTGAACAAAAAATTGGAAATTTGTTTCTAAAATGATACTCAAAAAACATCTCCAAAAAAAGACAGAAATTTTTTGTTTTGGGAACAGCAGAAGGATGCTAATAAGCCTTATTGAGAGAGAATACCTGTATATGTCACATTCAGACAAAGTAATTTCATGATCAATGGCAGACCACAGTTGAGACTTGAGTGGTTCATATTCATTACTTGCACTTAGATTGCCATCAATGGTACTCACTACCCACTGCAAAATAGGAATGAATAAAAACATATGCTCTACACCCATGTTTGTTTGTTTTTTTTTCCACTAAAAATTTAACTTCTCCAATTCATTAATTAGTATAAAAAATCCACATCAGAAATTTATACTTTAAGAAATCAGATTTAACACTAAACGTACCAAAACTTAATATACACCTATTTCTATTACAGCCGATCAAATGAATGGACTGAATGTCTTTTGATTGAATGTATAAAATATGGATGTTAGGAAGGAAATAAGCTAAAAAAAAACTTTATTATAATTAAACAAAATTGCATATTTCCAATTTTTATAAATTACAAACACAAAGAATTTCTATAATTCTTACAATTAATATTATTTCTTCTAAGAACATGTGCTGTCTAGATTGTTTAGACATTTTTCTGGGTAAAAACTAACAGTTAGTTAGAAATAAAGCAAAGCTATCAAAATAAAATATAAGCAACTTACCAAAACATTAAATTTTTTGTCACCCTTTTTATGACACAAAAATGCCAATCTAAAAATTTAAGATACTTTCTTGAAATTTGAATTCACAGTTATTCCGATTGAACTAACTACGCGATAGTCTTTGCAGAAATATGTGACTAATTGAATGCAATAAGTTGAACACGCATTACATCGTAATGTCTGATTCAATAACCTTATAAAGCAATAAATTGTACACCCGGTCAAATGACCGGTTGTGGTAGAAATAGGTATGCAACAAGTATTATTCGAAACAAACAAAATGCAAATATATATATAGATAGATACAATATTAATTGTATATAATTCTTAGAAAAAGTCATAAAGTCAAATGTGCAAAAACAATAAGATGAAATGCACATTTTCGATGCAGAAGTTCTTAAATTGTCATTTCACTGGTTATGGTATGCGTAGTGTTAAACAATGTTTAATTTTATTCTAGATAGTTCAAAATATTAATTATAGATCGGCATTAAATTTTTTTTATTAGATTTAGCTTATATCTTTAGAAAAAAACTGAACTTTGAATGTTAAACTCTTGCTTCTGGAATATATTTCAGATAAACGTGCGAAAATTGAGGAAAAAAAATTCTTTTTAATTTTATTTGTCATTCTCATCAAAATGTTAAAAATAGATTATTTAAAAAAAAACGCTAACAAAATAACTACTATATTCAATATTTTAACATAAATGGGAAATATTAATGGATCACAGCAATTTTTGCTCAAATTATAACAAAATAAATCAAATGACATATTTTTTGTAACAAATATAATAAACTAATACAAGAATGTTATTATTTATATCAACTGTTATGAATTCCCCATGTCCTCAGATTCCTTTGACTTTTTGACAAATTCTAAAAGTCCGATAAATGATGCAAAACTGACAAACTTTAGCACTAAAATTAAAAGACAATGGTAAATTGCATTAGACTGAGTTCAGGTTTCAAGGAAATAAAGCACAGATCTTGAAAAAACTAAGGTGAGGAATTCCAAAATTGGCGTATTTGTGCTGTCTAAATCGAGTTTGGGTGTCACAAGTAAGGGGTCAAAGTGAAATTATAGGCAGTTTAATTTCCAATATCAGAAAAACTTCTTAAGTTAGAAGAAAAGACTGAAATTGTGAGGTCATTAATTTTTATGCAAAATAACAATTTAAAAATTCAATCATAATTTCTGAATCAGTAATAGCAATATACATTAAGGAAGTTAGATAAGTAAATAATGTATTTATCACAAAAATAGAGAAAGGATTTCAAATGAAAAATCTTATAAAAGAGAAAGGTAAAAAAGAGTGCTATATAGTTAACAATTTCATGATAGTGAATCGATTCCTGTGACATCACTTAAATTTAAATAATTCTTTTCATTTCAGATTAGTTTTTGTCATGTTTTCAAACATGGATATTATACTTTGGCAGTAAATAACTTATTTTGTTTTAGTGAATTTCATTATCTTCGATTTTGGCTGCAGTTCATAATTTAATTTTTTCAAAACTTCTTCATTTCTTTTTCACTATTTTCTGCTTTTTTTTTAGAAGTGTCAATGGGCTTCTTTTTAAGTGATGACATAGGAATTGATGCACTTGACAAAAAGTAGAAGATTCTTCACCCCTGACAACCAATCTAATGTTACATATTTTTTTCTTGGATCACTTTCATGTCCTCTCTTGCAAAGTTGATGGGCACTCTAAATTCATCCTTTATTCACAGAATATGTAACACTGATAATTTTTTTAAAAAGTTCTTTGGGTAAAACTTTTTTTTAAGTATTTCTCCATAACCACGTGTATCATTTGAAAAAAAAAAGCTGTTTTGAACAGTAATGCAAATATTGTCTAAAATATTTAAATATCGAGTCATAATTCAAAGCAAAATGTTTCATATACAAGTCCATTTATAATAACCATTGATCTCAAAATTGAAGAGCCTTAAGCCCATGTAGAATAACCATTGATCTCAAAATTAAAGAGCCTTAAGCCCATTTATAATAACCAAAGTGCCTTAAAACCCTTTGACAATACCTGATTCTTATGGCAGTGATTTACCTTTTGCCTTGTTAAGTATTCTTTCTAGAACGCAATTTAGACAAGAAAACTATTTAACTAAAAGTAGCTCACTCTTAAGCTGTGTTCTCGGCTGAATTCTTCACTTTTGGCATGGCTGAAATCATAATCAGGAGAGAAAGAAGCATTCAGAGTGGCAATTAAGTAACTCAGTGTCTTGCGATTGATGGTATCACAGAGAGGACCTTCCCCTTCAGAACTCTGGCTACAAAGAATTAACAAACCTTTTAATATGATAAAATATTGAGAATTTTTTTCATAAATAAACATTTATAAAATACCATAGGACTTTTCTTCAATTTAAAATTAAATTTTTTTTCTTCCCTCAACAAAAGCTGAAAATCTGGTTATTTCTCTCATCAATTTTACATAAAATTAATGACAAAAATGAACAAATAAGATACGTTAAAACGTAAGTGCCAATATATAAGATAAGTAAGTGTCAATATATTTGAGAAATGATTTATAAATATATTACAATCGATGCATTCTTAATGGGTCATCCCTGTAAAAGTTTGGCCCATTTCCGTCATAAATTTTACATAGAATTCCTATGGGTTTATTTTAATGACAAAATGGGAAACATGATAAATATTTTAAACCGGTGATAGAAATATTTACAAATAGTCCCTATGGCAGAATTTTGAAATTTGGCTACTAGTCAGTGGCTGGTTGCAGTATTTTTAACAGAGGCTACTTTTTGAAATAATTAAAAAATTTGTGATGCTAAAGCATTTGAGTGTAAGGCATTTTAAGCCTTTTTCAAATTATGGTAAACACTAGAAGCATTGCTAAAAATACGATAAATTTTAATAAACAAACATAAAATAAAATTTTTTTCAGAAAATTATAAAATATTTATAATGTTACTATATGTATTTAAAAAAAATTTATAATAAAATGCACACGATGTGCATTTTCAAGGAAAAAATGGAAAGCGGTTAACAAGGAGCAAAAGTGTTTTAATCGCAATTCGTTACATTTAGTCGACCTATGGCCGGTAGGACCGCTAATTTTGTTCTATAACAAGTTTCAATTATGAACTTTAATTCACAGTACTTTTGTTTTTAAAAAAACTAAAATATTTATCTTTGGTAATGTGAATCATTTCGAAGAACAGTTTTTAATACAATTCACAATTTTGAAAATCACAAATTTGAGTAATCACTTTTTAACTAGCTTTATTTTCCCCAATTTTCTAACCATACATTTAACTAATCACTTTTTGATACTATTTCTTTGAACAGATTTCATCACAAATGTCATTTTTTGGCAGTTAGAGATATACATTTGTTCGTGGTATTTAGGAGCCCGATATTTCAATACAATGTTATTGCAATCCGAAACATTAAAAAACTTGAGGAAAACGTGAGTTTTTAAACTGCTCACTGTTTATAATTTATTTAGTTTAGGTGAGTTTTTTTTTGTTGGAAAAAACGAAAAAGAAAACATTTTCTATTTAAAATTCATAAAATCTGTAAGAATAAAAAAAAAGAAGTATTATAACAAATAAATATTGAATCTTATTTTGTATCATAATATTTTGTTTTATTTTTTGTTTAAACCCTATAAATTTTCTTTAATTAAAATATGTATGTATTTCTTTACACTTTCATTCGGTGAGCATTACCATTTATTTTAAAAGATTTATATATTTTCTACCTAATCTTTATTTTCATATTTTTGTTCGATAAATTAATTATAAAAAGGACAACATTTTTTAGATAAAAGCATCAATTTCTTCATTTTTAGATAAATTCAAATAATTAAAAGTATTCAATTTTCTGAAAATATATGACTGATTTTCTTGATAAAAAAAAATTCAGTGCTTAGAATACTAACGTTTATATCAAAATTATCATATTTGCTGCAACATGATTAAATATGTGCATGGCCCTTCATTAGTCCATTTTCTATGCAATTCTTCTTCACTCAAAAAGGTTGTGCACGCCTATTTCAATTGATCAAATTAAAATTCTGTACCCATGTTTCTTTGGGTTGCACAACATCCCAATGTATCATGACATTGATTACAAATTGCAAAAATTAAAAATTCAGAAACTATTGAGCATTAAAATATTTTACTCCATTATGTAATGGCTTAGGTATAGAAAACAAACTGGTATTAAAATGTTAAACAATAATAATAATAAAAAAATTGAACATTTAAAAAACGTGTAGCAGAGAGCTCCCTAAGAAAGAAATTCATTTATATACCACCTCTCCAAAGAAAAAAAACTTATAAAAATTTAACTAGTAGAGAATAATACTAATAAATCTTAGGAGGAAATTTTTAGGAATCTTTCCTAAAAATTCTTAGGAAGAACACTAATGTATAGTATAAAGAAAAAGAGATACATAATACCTGTAGCTTTTACTTGGACTGTTTGCAACCATCATACTTCGAGGAGGTGACAACGCCTGCAGATCATTTGCCTTTGCCTCAGCATTCATAATTTTGAAAAGTTTTTTATGGTCACCAGCCATTTTACAAGAGTAACTTTCAATTCTAAATAAGGGAGAAAAAATGGTTAGTCTTAAATAAAATGAGTTAATAACTAAAGATCTTTAAATCAAAACAAGAAAATTTAATTCAGTTTTTTATAAGACTGAATTTATAATAATAAAGTTGAAAATAAAAAAATTATGGATTTTACTTTCAAGTTAAATACTTTAGTTCCTGTAACAAGATATTTTTTATGAGATAAGGTTACTAGCCCTAAACTTAATCCCCAACCAGGAACTGCACTGCAGAAACTAAGTTTAAGGAAAAACTCGGATGTAAAGGTCTAGTTCAACCTTGTCTAAGTTAAGCACTCTGGAGTCAGTTTAAGTAACGAATTTTAACCTTAATTCTTTTGTTCAAAATCGAAGCACTTTTCATCTTGCTTTCATGGATGTTTTGTTCATTGCTTTATCAGTTTTAAATTATAAATATGTTTCTATTAATGAGGAAACATAATATGCCTTTTTAGTAGTGAATTGTAGGTTTTTTTTTCTGGATTTTCTTTAGTGTTTACAAAATCTTATGAAAGAATGCATCTTTTGGAACACATTTTTTGATCTTCATCAAGAAATATTTAGAGAATCAGTTGATAAATTTACAAAATGATAAGGGGCTTTTCACAAATTTCATTTTATACAATTACACAAGAATTAAATAAATTACACCGCCATTGTCTGGGATCATCTCCATAAAAGTATCTCTTCTTTCGGATGTTTTATTTATTTCTTAATACCATCACGCCTTGTTGTCTGAACCATCATTAGAAGGGCATTATCATTTGTTAATAAATCTTGTTTAACAGTACAAAATGTAATTTGTGGAAAATTTCTTATTATTTTGAGCTCACTTTTAAAAAGTAAGCTCAAAATAAGCTTACTTTTAAAAAGTACACAGAAAATTGCTTGAAACTTTTTAAATTTTTAAGATATTCAAATTGAACTTTCTTTATTAGTTATCAATCATGATTCACTACAAAATCAAGAATTAATTTTTTCTGCTCTTGCTCAGTTAAAAAGAATTACTTTAATTACTCATACTTTGCACAGTTCTTAACGATTTTTTCTAACATGCAATTATTGAATATGATAAGCAAAATAATAGTTATAAGTTATAAATTTATCATTACATTTTTTGGCATAGGCAGGGTTGGGTTTTTGACGTCAAAAAGTGGTTTTTGACATGACAAGGGTATAATACTGGTTTAAACCGTCAAAAATCCGTCAAAAATGTCAAAAACTGAAGTTTGCCAAGAAAATATATAAACTTCAAAACTACCAACAGTTGCCATGCATTATATTGAAATTTAATTATACTATANAAATTTATTTTTTCTAGAACATATTTAGAAACACTATCCTTTAAAAAATATATAAATTTTATGTATTAATTAAATTTCACATATGAATATAGGTTTTTGACATTTTCGACATTTTTGACAGTGAGATTTTTGATGTGACGGTTTAAACCATGGTTTAAACTGTCAAAAACTGTCACATGTAGAAACCTGCCAACCCTGGGCATAGGGTGTTCAAAAATGTTTTTTTTTTCAGTTTGTAATTAATTGTCGATCCCTCAAACCTCAAAGAGCTTTGAAATTAATTGATATGTGGGAGAAATCGCACAATCTAATCTCTTCTAAATTTATAAACTGATTCTCTAAGTATTTTTTGAGAAATATCAAAAAATGTGTTAGTATTGAAGTGTTTCCTTTATTTTGTGCAACCCCTGTATATGTGTATGTAAATAACCATTACATAAAATCATTTTGATTCTTAGACATTCAGTCGATGCTCCTAGTTGACGCTGATTCCTAGACACTAAGTTAAAAAACCATTGATATAGATGTAATTTTTACAATAATCTGTTCAGTGAGAATTGATAGCAAAAATAAATAAAGCAACCTATAAGCAGGTGGTCTGAATAAATCTAATCTGGAAAGAAAAAAAAACTAGCAGAAATAGGCAATGAAGGCAAAAAACAGCAAATCTTTATATTTGCACCTGCTGTCGATTTTCCCTGAACAGAGTATAAAATTTGTGAATAAACAAAATTTTCACACATACATTGTTGACAACAAGTAGGCAATGTTGGTTAGAAACAGAAAAATTTTATGTTTACGATGGCAATCCGTTTTCAATGAACACAGTATCTAACTTGCTAAGAAAAAATTTGGAGCAAGAAGAGTTAACCATATAATATATACCCATACACTATGCTACTTTATCTGTAACTAAAATGATGTATTTGAGCAAAAATTTATAAATAGGCAATATTCCCATCCCCGTGGCAGAATCTTGGTGACACAGTGACATTGTCGTGGAACATTGCAGAATTCTTGGAGAAAGATTTTTAATTTGGAAAGCAAAGAAGATTTTTTTTCTCTTCCTAATCTGCAGTTTTTCGAAATATTTTTTTCCTGCAGAACTCCCCCCCCCCTTTCTGCAGAATTATATTAAAAAAATGCCTTTCTCCCATGTCGGAGGTGGAACGAATGCTCATTACTTTTTTTTCCTTTTCTACTTTCTTTTGAGAATAAAAATATTCTGCATTGACTGGCTTTAGCTAGAATTTCAGATAGATATTATAAAAAGTAATTTCCAAAGAGAAAAATTTAAAATTGTATACCTTGTAAATCTTCTGAAAGGCTATTTTTAGAGTATCAGCAAAATTACTACATTACTAAAATATTGACTAAGTTACGATAAAGCACTGCACAATCGAGATTTGGAAGAATTAGTGGAAATATTTTACAATAATCCTGACTCTATTAATTTGTTAAAGGTTATTTTTCTAACATAACAGCTGATTGATGCATATGTGATCCACAAAATTACTAAAAAAAGGCTTAAAAAATGAGTGTCAGCCTTTTAAAAATTTAACTTAGTATATTTATTGGAAAAACTTATTTATCTTTGAGGAATTTCATTTTAAGACCAACTTTATAAACAAGTATTTATCTGGAATACCAATGTTATGATTATGTCTACATAACTTACCTTCGTATAATCTATTTACAGGGTATCTGCTATATTTTAGATTTTCAAACTCAGGACTTTTCATGACTAATTCCTAATTTTTCATGACTAAATGAAGATACTATTTTCGCCGACAAAAACACAACAGTAAATTAAAAAAAGCATTATAATAACATTAATTGGAATGGTAGGTATAACCAAAACTGTTATACTTTGCACCTTCATATTTAAAGATTTTAAATTTAAAAATCAGAGTGAAGAAAGAGTTGAAGCTATAAAATAGCTGAAAAAATACAAAAGCAAATATTTGTATTTGTTTCGCAGAATTATATTCTAAAGATACTTTTCTTGTTCATTTGAGAGAATAAAAAAAAATTCGCCAAGGACTGGCATGCATCAGCTAGAATTTTAAATTAATAAAACAAAAATAATAACAAAAATTCTGAAATCACAGAAGTTTAAAAGATAATTCACTTCAGAAATGATTTTTTTGTTTTTTGAATGAACAATATAATTTTTAAAGAACATGATAAAAACATTCTATACATTTTAATAAAATATGACTATGAGAGGGGATTTTGTTACAAATTCAGATATTCGGGACACCATGAAATTTAGGTGTGGGGGGGGGGTGAATCCCATTTTAAAAATTTGATTTTTCCGAGACCTAAATCCATGACCAGGAGTTTGTCCAGGCCGAATTTACTACCGTTTAGCGGTACCTTCACAAATTCAACTTTAGGAAACACAAATTCAACTTTAGGAAAAATGGTAGTTCCACAAAATACTTTTTCTTAAAATTTTATTTTTGCATCCCTTAAGAATCGATAAATCCATATTTTTGTGTTAAATTTTAAATATAATTTCTCACAAATTATGACTAAATTTTCACAAAATAGGCATCTCTAGGAAAAACCTAGACAGACCCTTGATGACTTTCCATGATTTTTTAAAAAATATAGTTAAGATCATGACAAATTTTGTTCAATACCGAAATTCATGACTTTCCAAGGGAGCAGATTATTAACCACTTAATCGGTAACTGTGTTGCAATTTTCTACTTAAATATAAATGTCAGTTACTATGCTCACATCTTTGTTATATTTTTCAAATGAATTAATAAAAGCTTCAACTAAAATCATAACAAAATCAATCAAAGCAATAAAACTTTTCATGCGTGATAGAAAAATGATTTAATAAGGGAAAACTCCCTCTGTAAATTTTTAATTTTTTCAAAAATCTGAATAAATGATACTTAGAACATTACAACAATACTTACTCAGCATTACTTTCAAACTTGTTTAACAATACTCTTTATCAGTACTTACTTTGATTGTATTGTTTTTTATACTAAGAGCAATAAAATGATACAATTTGATAGAATGAAAGTCAGAATGATTTCAGAATTTTTAATTGTTTTTGCTATATGCATTGAAGATTTTGAAAATATTTCAATATTAAGAAAATTTAACAAATTATNGGTACCTTTTCATAGATGACGGTTGACATGGTCTAATACTCCTCTCCCCACAGTATCAAAAAAATTTCCTTCCAGATATGAAATTTCAAAATCATTAAAATAAGCGTAATTACCTTCCTCGAATGACACTCTCACCAGTTTGGAAACGAAGAGCAGAATTTATAGCTTCAAATATACTGCTTTCCAAAAACTTCATATCTTAGGTTGACGATGAAAATTTATATATAAAAAAATCGATAATGAAAATTAAAATTGCAATGAGTTTTTCAATATACTTCGCGGATGGGTGAACAACACTCTGTTTCTTCTGTGTTTTCTAGAGCAACTGCTTATAATTCTATATAACAAAGGATCTTTAAAAGGTACTTCATTCAGGTTTTTGTTCAGCATTGGGCAGCAGAGGAACGATAAACAAAGAATTCGCTCACTTAAAGAGCGAAAATTTGAGCTATTAGTAGTTCTCAAAACAAACGAAGCTGAAGTGCAAACAATGAAACAAATTAATTAAATGCCAAACAATTTTGTGGATGAACTTCACAATCTCCAGTTCTATGTCACCTTGTTTGACAAAAATATTTACATCAATTTGACATGACGAGAGTGTTGCCAAATTTCTTAGTTTTTTAAAATATTTTCTTTCTTGGAGAACCAATCAAAATGCTCAGAAAAGACGAGGATGTTGCTTGGCTGACGGGCTTTTTTGGACGGCGAAATGGGCTACAGGTGGCGTACAGCAGAACCCGTATGCTATGGCAACATTTCGACTGCTTTAACCATAAGCGTGTGGAGAGAATTTGGAAGTACGTTAGTTTCTGTCTCGATTTTCAATAAGACTAAAAAGTTTTTAGTTAAGAAAATATATGGAACTGAAAATACAGTACTTTTCTAAAAATAATGAGTTTGACTTACAAATTAGATAGTTCATTTGAGAATCAAATGTGTATATTGTTGTTGTAGTTCATTTATGTCGCACTAAAAATTCAAAATGGGCTATTGGAGAGGGTCTGGGAAACATACCTGAGGATAATCTAGAATATGGAATCACAAATTTGATCCTCTGCTGAAGGGATAGCACCCCCGCTTCGGTAGCCTAACGATCGACCTGCATGCGAAGTTGAGCATTTATACGGTAGAGCAGTTTAACGACCGATAGCGCCCAAATAGCTCCAGGCTTATAAGCTTTAGCCAAATAGAAGGACAGAACGAATGTAAATCCAGGGAAACAGCGGGAATCGAACCCGCTACCTCCACGCTTGACATATATGTACTAAAATGCTGTTCCCTTACGCTTGTGCCTCCACTTACCACGTTCTAATATTATTATCTTTTATTATAAATATTCAGATGTGTAAGCCATGTTTCTGAGTAATCATACTTTAAGGAAATTTGTGTCGCGACCCAGGCCCATACGCCAAGTAATCATACTTTAAAAATAACATTGATCAACATTCGAAAATAGCATTAAATTGTTGAAACAAATGTGATGATTGCACAACAGTAATTTTAATATTTTTCTTACCAAACGGCCGGATATATTAAATACGATTTTTGTTTGTATCTCATTGTGGATGAAGCTGACCTTTAAGTTCAAAATCATTTGACAGATCTCTTTAATTGTAATTTATAACAGTATATTAATGTTATTTGCACAAAAATAATTGTGAATGGTTAATAAGATTAAACCACCTTTCTGAATTACTTTATCTTAAAATGTAGTACATTATAATGTAAATTACATTATAATGTAATTTACTCAAACCCATTATAATGGGTTTGAGTTCTTATCTAAAAAGAATTGGTTCAATTATAATGTGTGAGAGAGATTTGGTCAGATGACTGATCAAATTATAGCAAGTTCGTATACCGATAGAACGATAATGGGTTCGTAAACTGATTAAATAGTAGCTGATTTTGTACAAGATTAGTGATTTTAACTGTCAGCAGGGGTAATTGTGAGCCCAAGTCGAAATTCCGGAAAATTTCTTGAGTTAAAAAAAAACAAAAAACAGTTTTAATTGAAAAAAATTTAAACAAGGTTTTTTTCCTATATTTCTTAGTTTACTTAAAATATATTTAAAATTTTACACATAGCTATGATGACCTGGAGAAGAAATTAAAATTTACAAATATGTCTTTCTTTCTTGAGTTTATGATTATAACAACTATTTACTGATAAAAAATGAATATTAATCATGAATATAAGCTTTATCTCTCTGGCTCTCCCTTACAAACAAATAAAATAAACTGTGTTTTTAAGTTCCACCTTTGAAAATTTGATTTCCGGAAACTTCTGTGATAAATGATATTTTGAAACGTCTGGACCTTCGATCTCCGGAAACTTCCAGATCACTGTTAGCGAAAATTCCGGATTTCCGGATTTTTTCCGGAGCACAATCACCCCTGTGTCAGTCGAAAGAGACGGGATTTGAAAAAGAATCAAGTTACTTCAGTATTTAAACCTATTCATTGCTCAAATCCACTACTCTCTTTTAGGAACTTGACCTTGTTATAATTTGGCCATTCCACAAAACCAGACTCTATAGAGTCTGGTTTTGTGGAATGGCCAATCAAATGGTGGAATCAAATGGTGGATAACTATAGTTATCCACCATTTGATTTCACTAATTTAAATAGGTGCTTTAATCTGTTACCATTAAATCAGTTTCCGAACAAGATTGGTTCTCTAACCTGTTAAAATTTGGTGGGTTTTTGTAACCAAGTTGTTGATCAGTATATCCTAATATCATCAATGAACTTGTTTAACTTACTCGCATTTGTTCAATACTTATAATCTTAATATTCACATCGTAAGCCTGATCTGATATCATAATCCATATTCAATGACACAGTTTCGTTTTTATGGGTACTGCATATTAATATTATTACATCAATAATCGGCCCCTATTTTTTTAAAATTTTTGAACACCGGTTCGTTACTTAGATCAGCAATTATAGAAGATTCTTCGGAGGGCCTATAGTCAGTGATGGTACCAGGGAGGAACTAGGTAGCCTTGGCAGTCAGTGAGATAAATTTTGGTGCGGTACTGCATATCAAATTAAATGAGATAATGATGAAATCAATTTTTTTATAACTTTCGAATCGAGTTGTTTTTAAGCATATGCAATTGTTGCAGAATTTATTAGCAAATGGGTATAATTAGGAGAATGTGTTTCCTCAAAACACTATTTCCTTATCTAATAATATGGAAAACTGGTTTTGCTATTTGGAGAAGATTGCAGTTTAAAATACGACTTTTTACGTGCAAAATCGTCAGTGGGGTAAATTTTTTTTTGCAGAATACTTTTACATTTCTTTCTTAAAAAAATAGATATTTTAGATTGCTTTTCAACAGAAAGTAAACCGACTGAATAAGTCCCAGTTTACAGGGTACTCAATGTATCTTTGCACTCAAATATAAAATTATATACTGGGAGTTAATTCAGCATGCATTTGATTTAATTACTTTGTATTTTCTACAGTTACCTTATAAACTAAAGAATCCATCGAATAGAGTTCAAAATTTTACTATAGTTTTCATCATTAGATTTCTGGCATGTCTTACTCTTAAGCTACCATCTCTTTTTAGCGAAGATATGTTTTAGCCAAAGGTTGTCTTCTTTATCAAATTTTTTCCGAATTAATTTTTACACTAGAATCTAACTTAACTGAATATGTCTGACTTCATTGATCTTCTCCTCAGCTAAAATGATATTCTTCGGTTGTAAAAATGACACACACACGAAATAGTCTTTTAATTACATCACTGATGGCTTAGCCATATTCGTATTAAATATAATATAAATATAAGGTCAATTGAATCAATATACTTAAGAATAATTTTAGGAATTAGGAGGTTTAACCTAAATAGGGGGGTTAATGTTGATCAATCATATATGATTAATGTAAAACACAGTTACAGCATGTTTTTTTGTATCGCATTAAAAATATACACAGTATTAGTCTGTAAAAGAAAATTTTCAAAAAGTATATTTCAGCAAGGTTTCTCAGCAAGGCCCTAAATCGTATTATCTTCTCCATTTGTCCTCAGTCTTTCTACTGATTTGATCTTTTCCTATGATTCTCGTTCTTTCGATACCCTTGGATAAGATGAAGAAGATTAGAGGGGTTGGGGTACAAGGTTTCACCATGAATTATTCATCTCTTCCTGTGAAAATCTGACTGAATGATTTAACTAATGTTGTATTTTTACTATACTTGCGATTTCCCACAATGTAACTCGGTGAATATTTTACCTTTTTCAAAGTTTTGACGTCTTTGCAGCCTCAAACCCTCTGCAGAACTATTAATTTTTTGAGGTTACCAATCTTCACCCGCTCTGTCCTTCTGTTATTAACCTGTAGAGTTCAGAGGTAAAGAAGTGCTAGTGTACTAATAGCGGTTTTTCTAGGCATTCCTTCAACTGATACCCTCAATTTTTGAAGAGTCAGATTAAATTTAATATTCGCTCTGGGTTGAGTCTAGAATTAATAAATAAGGAATGTGATAGTTTTCCATTTACTTTCACAGTAGTGATACTTGATACTTTGCAATTAAGGATGATTCATTATACCAAAAAGACCTTAAGTCAATTGAACAGTACATTCCAACTTTCCTTCTAAGGCTCTAGTATTTTTCACTGTTGGAAATAAATTGACATCAATTTTCAATCAAATACTTACAAAACTGGACGGAAATTCTAGTAAAAATTGAGCAAGATGTAATTTTCAAAATGTTCATACTTTCACATTTATGTTTGCCTCCAATGAATCCTTCCCACGTTGGGGTCGACGAAAATGAGGAGGTGGGGGTTACTTGCAAATAAGGGAAGTACTCTTTTTTTTTTTTCTATCACCCCTCGTGGATTTTTGGCATCCCGCACACGATAGGTACGATGGAAATTACCTCTGCAATTTGATGACCTGGAGCACTAACTGCATTAGCCAGTTTACATCGAATGTTTTAAATTGGTGGCATTTGCATGTATTAAATCATTAATTTCGCGTCAGATGACAATTTGTTTTTCTCATCACTTCTTATTAAATTTATATTTGTGTTAACAACGTTTCAAACTATTCCACAGATTGACTTCTCTTGCTACAGACCCTGAAACGAGAAGAACATTTTTAATATATTTTCATAGCATGTTGTTACAGTTACAAAAATCTTAACTAAGGTCAAAACAATTTTTTTCCGACTGCTCACTCTAGTGTCTGAAAATAAGCAACGACTGACTTTATTGTTCTCTCTGTTATTTGAAGGCTGAATTAAAACTTGTGGTTTTAGAGTCAATAATTATGCAAAGCTTGTTTTATCCATTGCATTTGATTTGCGGTTAAAGTAATAGAAGGTTTTGGTTGAGATGGCATTTTGAGGCTAAATTCAAACTTGTGATTGCTAGATCATGTCATCTAAAACGTTTCAAGATAAAATTCATTTTTGCGTTTGTGCTTACGTTGTCGTATAATGCCTGGGAGTGAATTAAAACTTTTAGTTTGTAGGTTAAAAATTGGGTAAATTTGTCCTACCCACGGAATTTTTTGGAAGGTAAGTTACGGAAAATTTTTGATGGGTGAATAATTTCGCAGGGTAAAGAAATGGAGGCGA